CAGAAAAAAAGTTATATTGCCATTGTCAGTGAACAATCTATACAAACTAGGAACTTGCTTCAGCGATATATGGTGCAACGTGATGAATAATAGTAATGTTTCTGCCATTAATATTTTACTGTGTCATGTTTTTTATGTTGCTCTGCATAAGAATCTCGTAATCTTGTTTAGAGAGAGATTTTACTCATTTTTCTAGTGTCCACATTTGCACAAGCAAGAACTTAAGATGGCAGACAAAAAGGTGATGCCAAAAGAAGGAGTGTTAAATCACACCTGAGCCCGTGAGTTTGATTTTTAAGATTTTTGCAAGGGAACATGAAGTTTATGTAAAATAAGACCCTTTTCACAGTTATGGGGTCACCACATCTGAATATCTGCAATCTAGTGTTTGTTTACAATTTTATACATACATATAGATATAGCATAATTTTAGGTTGTTCAGCTTTGTGTGCATGTAAATGGAAGACATAAAGCATAAACATTTTAATGTCTCCCCTAGATTTACAAATAATTCTAGGACACTTATAATTTAATAAATTACTTTATTTCTTGGATCACAATAAACTTCTAGTGAACCATACAAATTGCTGAGGCCATTGCTCTACTTTCCTTTGCAGAACACATGTGTGGGGCTGCCATTATAGGAGATCAAGTGGGTCAGACTGGCTCAAACAGCTGATGCTCGATGTGCAGTAGCTAATATTATCAGCAGGGGGCGAGCATCTGCCACAGCTTTTAACATGGTTCTTTCAGTCCCCACCCACATTCATGAACTCTCTCATGTCATGTGACAGGGGAGAGAGAGGGATTTTGCCAGGAGGACAGACATTTAGTGGCTATTGGAAGAACGCATGACATACATTTATGCTGAGATGGGGAGTCTGGCATCGAGAAACCTGTGGGGAGACATGGTGCAAATGGACGTATTTAAATATCTAATCTGCTCTCAGTTTACACTGTTGAAATTTTGAAAACCACTGTGACAGTCTATTGTATGTTTTTTTATTGTATGCCAGTCTTCATTAAGTTAACACCTCAATTAGCAAAATGTCTGACAAGGACAAATTAAACCAGCCAGGTCTCTAACATGGGCTCCCACTGCTTTATGTGGCACTGTCTAATGAAGGTGTGCTTCTTTATTTCACATGTATTTTCTCCTTATTAAGGCTATGGCACTACTGTGTGATGCTGTTTTAGTTTTACTTAGTTTGAATCTATTATACATGTTGTATTAACGTATTGCATTTTGTAGAACCATCTGGGCTGTAATAATAAAACTTTTTAAGAGATACAGTAGAGAGCCTACTCTAAAGATGATCCAAAATGCGGCCAGTGAAATGCTTTTAATTTGCAGCAAGTTAGTGAAGTTAGTGTCTGACAACTGCCAGTCCCAACACATATTGGTCTCTCTCTTCTCTAGAAAAAAGTAACTTTATTTGAGTAAAACAGCAACACACTTAATTTAGTGTCGGGCTTACTATGTGAAATAATGGCACAAAAGTACCCAGAATAATCCAAATGGAACTCTAATTCTGTTGCTTTTTAAATGGTATTTGCTCGCAAAAAGCTTTTACATTCTATATTTATTTTCTATACTCTAGTATCTGAAATGAAGCTGTGAGTATGTGGGGGAGGGGATATATAGCCCTTGCCTTGCTCAATAAGGAGAGAGAGAGAGAGAGAGAGAGAGGGAAGAAGAGAGTTAGTTTCGTCCAGGGAAAGACGTACATCTCGAGCCGAGGAGCAGAGCCTCAGCCTGGACAGTCAGGAGCAGCAGCACTGCTGTCTGCATCCCCTTTTTTAATGAGACCTCATAGTTTGGCAACGTCAGGGTGCTCAGATCTATCGTTTGACCCATAGGGGTGCGTAAAAATTAGGAGAGCAGCACCTCCAATCGTGGAAAACATTAAGACGAGAATAAGGGCAAGACGTACGGACGGTGCCATGGAGGTGACGCGCGCGTGTGTGCAAACGCACGGCTGTGGGATGTGGTGTCTCATGGACGCGGAGCGATGCTGTAAGCTCTGGTATTAGCAGGCATTTCTCTCCCCTCCCTCCCCTCCCCTCGCATCTCCAGAACCGCTGCTCGTATCGCACCGACCATTCGCTCCAACCGGGGATTCGGCTCGCTGTGCTCACTTTGCTGGCGTCCTGCACGAAAGATTTAACAAGAGCAGGTATGTGCACAGCGTAGTGCATGTCGATGGTACTGTTTTCTTGGCGTGGGAATCATGAGTGTTTGACTTCATTCTGATCCTTCTTGTTGCTTCCCTCCTTTCCCTCTGTGGCCTTGCCAGCGGATTAATAAACCAGTATTTCAGAAAGATGCGGTTAGATGACATCATGTGACGAGTAGAAAAGGATGGTCAATTCGATATAAATGCATATATATAGGTAATTTTGTCCCACTGCTTGTATCGTAATTCATACAGTATCCTCATTCATTCAAACGTTTACACATCTCGATGATCTCGTTCTCACCTTTCCATATGCTGTTAAAGCATTACGCACACAACATGAACGCATGTGAGCAATGCTGTTGTTTCACACTGAGCAAACGCGACGAGATTGCTCCTTGTCAATTCGGCTAAAGAAACGTCCGTTTTCTGATTAATATGGGGAGACAAACTGTAGTGTTGCTGACTGGTTTCTTTAAGCTACAGTCACCTCTTTTCCTGTGTAGAAATATAGCCTGCATGATATGAAGGATGCATAGGAAGCTGAAGATGGGCGTGAGGGCAATATGATCTGAGGATGCCTACACCCTCACAGCTCAACCCCCCCGCTGCTACACTTCGCTTTGCTCCCCTTGTAGAACTGCACAGCTGCATGCTGCCATAAAGCGATCACACATACACATGGACGGTGCACTGTACGCATGTGTCTCAACGCAAAGCTACATGGACACTCCGCCATGCACACACCCGCTAATCCACACAGTCAACTATAATCCATAATCATGTGTGCTGGAGACATGACGTAACACACGAGCATCTTCTGTCTTCATGCACCCAGTTTTAAGCCCTCTCACAGAACCCCCTTTATTGTTGATAATGAATTATCCAGTGCCATCGCAGCATGTGGGATTATTGACAGAATTTAGAGTTGGTTTTGATGATGAGGGAGACCAGATTTTACTATGTGAGAAGTGGGTTAGCATGCCTCCAACTGACACTACATTTCAAAGTAGAATAGCAGCATTGGTGCAACTGTGACAGATGGAGTTTTATTGCACTCCAAGCATTAAGTGCATTATGAAATACAGTAGTTGGGTCATGGGCACTCATGTGTCTTAATAGCAGTGCTTAGCGATGAGTGGGTGTGGCTGAGGTGCTCCCCCTTTTCCTCTTGAGTCTGACTCATTAATAGTTGGGGCTCTCCCATGTTACAAATTCCCATATAGGGATTGAATTTATCTGATGTCCTATGCCCAAAAATCAATCTTCAACCTCAGGATCTAAAACATACCCATTTTCAACTCCCCGTGAATGCTATGCTTTTCTGGAGAATTGCAGAATCCAATGGAGTGAATTTATCAAACATCTCCATTTTGGGATATTGGCTTTCTTAGAAAAAGACAACTAGCAGCAAATTGTTAGTGAGCATTTATTAACATTTAAATATGTGTTAAGAAAACTACAACATCCACTTACATTGTCCATCATTAATTTTAAACCATTTTGGTTAGTTCTGGCTATTTCAAAATGCTAAAAAATTTTATTGTTTTTTTTTTCTGGAATATTGTGCAAAATATAGTTTAAATAATAATCTCTGAAAGCCACACATTTATCTTATTCTGTGCTCACTGGTTCAAGCACTTAACCCCATGCTTTTTACTGTTATACTTCAGTTACAGAGTATAGATATGTTATGAATTTGTATGAGAACTAGAAATGTCATTGAGCGTAGCTAAGACAATGTCAGGACGCATATAAACAATATCTGATGCGATTTATTTATGGACAGACAGTTTGGGGTCATGACCCATCACTTGCAAAAGGCTGTTCTTGGCCTAGTGCCAGTCTAAAGGAAAGCTGAGTCATGAGGATCTTCTATTAAATTTTTTATTTTATTTTTTTAACTTTCTAACGAATTGTTGTAGTAGAAGTGTTATCTTTGTGATGTAGTGAATATTTAAGCCATGAGGTAGCAAATGGTGTTGTTGATCCTCATACAGAATTAAGTTAGGTGGTATTCATATCTATGCATTCAACATTAACATCATGTCACTGTAGTCTTTTGCGACTCATGTCTCTGAGTATGTCTCTGGAGTCATAAGACTGTATAGGCATAAAGCTCTGAAGGCCAGAAATAATGTGGAGCAGCTGTCAACCTCTGTGCAACAACCCCCTACTTGTTTTATTTCAGTTGAGCAGTTTTATTTAATAAAAAAATTGCTTTGATCCAGCCATTATTTATATGCTGTTTCTATATATATATATAGAATATATATATATATATATAAGCATATTCAAATAATTCAAATAAAAATGTGTATATCTTCCTATATGATATATGAAAAAAAGTTTGATAGCTTGACCCTGACCTTAAAGGTACAGGCTATAACTTTCTGGCAGTTGAATTTTACCTGCACAATTCTATGGATTAGAACGTAAAACTACACTTGGAACATTCCCTATGGACATAGATAAGTTATATGCCACACTATGGAATATTATAGCCAGGAACACATGCAGTGTTGTAAGAGTGACAATAAGTGACATGTACAGGAATACAAAATCTTTGGGAGAATTATTTTGAAAACCCTTTTCAGAATTCTTCTGATATCTGAAAACTAAACTATTGTTTTGTTTTGTCTTGCAGGTGATCTATTACTGGAAGAAGGCCCTTGGATCTATAAGTATTAGTGGATCCTTGAGAATCACCAAGCCAAGTCCATATTGTCAAGCACAGGTTGATTGTGCTTGACCTGTCATTGGTGTGTCTCAGCCAACATATTCCTTACTAGATGATTAAAACGATCTACAGGATTGCCATCCATGGTTTCTGCCCTACTCAAGACTATATCATCCTACATTGAGAAGATTTGCAAAGGAATGTTTACAAAGAAATTGGCCAACCCAATAAAAAAGAAAGAGAGAAGTGAAAATAAAGAGTCCAGATTGACCACTGATTTGCACGCACATAATTTAACTCTCTCTACAACACTGAAGACAACTGTAAAAAAGATTTCCAAATGCTCTTCGGCACGTAACATATCGCTTGAAGACGACGACGGAAAGAACGACTGCTCGTCGCTTTCACCCACCTTCAGTTATCGTGTAGCTATAGCCAATGGACTTCCAAAAAACTCACTTTTTCTAAACAATAATGAAAGTTTTTTTCCTGAGGTTCTTTCAATTGACAGTAGCTATTCTGATTCCCTAAGTGACTCAAAGCCAGTCCGACGACTGGATGAGCATAAATCACACACTATGCCGGTCAGACGAAATAGAAAGAGCCTTATCAGTTTGGCTCCCTCTGATGGAAGCTCAGAGGGGGAGCGTGTGGAACGCTCCAGTTTACATACACTTCGACTAGGGGCTCTACGCAAGCTTAGAAAATGGAAGAAAAGTCAGGAATGTGTTTCTTCCGACTCTGAGGCGAGCAACTGGAGAAAAACCTTGGGCATACGTAGCAAGTCCTTGGATCGGGCTGGCCGACAACATAAGACCTCGACCTTGGAACCAGGGTCCTCCTCTACAGGATGCATAAGTCAAACCCAGGATGTTATGGAGATGATTTTCAAGGAGCTTCAAGGGATCAGCCAGATAGAAACAGAACTATCAGAACTGCGAGGTCATGTAAATGCACTGAAAAGTTCTATTGATGAGATATCTAGCAGTGTAGAAGTAGTTCAGAGTGAAATTGAGCAGCTTCGTTCAGGATTTGTTCAGTCAAGAAGGGAGACCCGTGATATACATGACTACATAAAACAAATTAGTACTCAAGCTAATAATTCCACTTTACGATTTCTCAATGTCCCAGAAGAAAGATCTGAAAAAACTGAGAGTTTGATATATAAATTATTAAAAGAGAAGATGGGCTTTGTTGATGCTCATAAAACAATTAAAATTGAACTTGCACATAGGTTAGGTCAACAAAGGGAATGTTTGAATGCAAAACCTCGTCCCATTATAGTTATTTTGCATCACCTCAAGACAGGGATGTTGTTTTGAAAAAATGCTATAAGCTTAAAGGAACTGGAATAACAGTGTCTACTGACAGCTTAACTCATGATGGAAAAGAAAGAAAAGACAAGGCAATGTCTTCCTCTCAGACATATGAAAGTATGGACATTAAGGTTTCAGCAAAGGAGAAAGTGGTAGAAAGTGATGATTGGGATTCCATGGACAGTGACAAAGAATTAGAGGAATTAAGTAGAAATAAATATGCAATGGTTCTCTCGAAGCCAGTTCATAAAAGCAAGTCAGAGAAAAGACGTTCCCATGACCATCGTCGGTCAGGAGAGGAGGCTAGCTACTCAGGGTCGGGTCATTACGCTGATGAGTCCTATTATGACCCAGATAAACATGGAAAGTCCTACTATTCAGATTTAACCCCTGGATGGCTCTCTCAAAGTGAATATTCTACCCCCAAACTAAGTCGTTCTGAATCGGATTGTTCCAAGCTTTGCCAGTCTTACTCAGAGGACTTCTCTGAGAGTGCATACTTTACTCGAGTCAATGGTGGCTCACTTCTTTCTTCATCAGACCAAGAACTGTGGCAAAGAAAACAGGAGGATATGGCCTCTTCTTGGTATGCAGGTTCTAGTCAGCCCTATGAACACAATGAAATGGAAACTACAGAAACTATTGATAGTGGTGTCAGCAATGGACTTATCTGTATGTCTGGTGACAGAAGCCATTATAGTGGCTCCCAGCTTTCTTTGCAGGGTGATATATCTCCGTGGAAAGATTGGCAAAATTTAGAACAAGGAGCTGACTCTGGTCTAGAAGCTTCTGTTGAGGTTAGCAGTCCATTTGACCCATCCACTATTCCTGGATTTCCAGAAAATATCACTAAATGCCAGGAAGTAGATTTACAGTTTGAGGGTGATGAAGAATTCATGCGTGATAGGGATGCTCCCTTGCCACCGATTACTACTCACATCATAACCCCAGTTGCAGAGCGGGAATTAGTCAAGACTCTTCGAACATCAAAAGAAGGGTCTAAAGCAGTTCAAAAAGAAAGCACAAAAACATCTTCAAAAGACAGCTCCAAACATAATACAAAAGTAACGCAAAAACAGGCAAAAGTGACTCCAAAAGAAGAAACAACAAGACTATCCTCTAAAGAAACTCCCAAGGTAGCAACCAAGGTAACACCCAAAGTGACCACTAAGGACTTAGCTAAAGACTCCCAAAAAGTTCATAAAGCATCTGCTAAAGACACACAAAAAGGAACTGCTAAAGACACTGTATCTGCTAAAGATGCTTCTCAGGTTGTTCCTAAAGACACTTATATTTCTAAACCCAGTTGCAAAGATCTTTCAAAAACACCAGTTCGAGAAGTATCTAAAGTAACGTCCAAAATAGCATCTAGTGAGACTAAAGTTACAAACAAAATCTTCACTAAAGAGAGTCCTACAGTGATGTCTAAAGAAAGTCCTAAAGAGCCCCCTAAAGAGAGTCCTAAAGTTACACCGATCATGAGTCCTGCTTCAACCCCAAAAGAGTCTCCAAAAGAGTCCCCCAAAGAGTCTCCAAAAGAGTCCCCTAAAGAGTCTCCAAAAGAATCCCCTAAAGAAACCCCTAAAGAGTCTCCTAAAGAATCACTGAAGGTTATTCACAAGGAGCCCACACACATTACATCTAAAGAAGTCAAACCTGCTAAAGAACTTACCAAAGAAGTTGCAAAAATAACCCAAGAAGAGGTTCCAAAAGAAACACCTAAAGCAGCACCAAGAGCAACGGGAAAAGTGCAGAATAAAGAAAGTAATAATACAATTCCAGCTAAAGAAGGTGCTAAAGTAGTGTCTCCAGAAAGTGTAAAGGTGCCCCAAATTGAACAGAGAGCCACACCTGCTGAACCTGCTAAAGTTGAAGCTAAAACAACTCCTAAAGTATCTCAAAGAACTGTACCAAAAGAGGGCTCTAAAACACTTCCAAAACAAGAAAAGTTTCCTGAATTGGATGTCAACCATAGTTTTCACCAAGCACAGAATAAATCATCCAGTATGTACCGTAGTCAAAGTGAAATTCGAACAGAGAAAGTTGAAGAAGTTCCAAAATCTTGGAGTAGTAGGCTAAGTATTGACCTTAGTGAAAAATCATTTGGGTTTGGCTTTGGTTCTACTCTGCAAAGAGCTAAATCAGCTTTGGAGGTTGTGTGGAAAACTGGAGCTCAACCGAATCAGACTCCTCCTCCACCACCTCCGCCTGAGGAGCCCTCAAGCTCATCCTTTATGGGCCGTTTCCGGACACTGTCTGGTTCAACTACTAGTAATTCCAGCCCTGCACCTATTGCACCACCTGAGGTCTACAAAGAGCCCACCCAGAGCAAATCTGAGGAAAAGAAGGAACAAGACCCACCAGTGGAGTCTGAAGAACAGCCTGACAGTGAGACTCATTATGTGGAAGTGATGGAACAAGTGTTGGCTAACTTGGAGAACAGAACAAGCATTGTTGAAACTGACGATGTGACAGAGCAGACACAGGAGTGTGAGACTTCTCAGGACTATGACATGTCTGATGACATTGATGCCTCACAAGACAATGATGCACCTCAGGACATTGATAATACTCAAGACCTAGAGGCCTCAGAGGGCTCAGAGGCACCTAAAGAGGCTTGTGTTCTGGAATATGACTGCAGTTTAGACGATCAATATGACGAAGAGTATAGTGAGGAATTTGAGGCACATCTAACTCCGGCAACAGCTGAATATGATGCTATGGTTGAATATGTAGATGTAGAAGAACCAGATGAAACCGAGGACAACGATGTGACTGAGGAGATGGAAGAGGGTGTTGAGGACTTAGAGGAGGTGCCAGAGATAGTGGATGAGGCCACAGAGGTGTCAACAAATGTGGACCAACAGCAAGAAGAAGAAAACAAAAATGTTCCAGAGGAGAAAGGTCCAGAAGCCCCTCCTAAAAAGCGTGTGCGACCTACATTCAAGGAAGCCGCACTGAGAGCCTACAGAAAACAGATGGCTGAGCTGGAGCAGCAGATCCTGGCAGGAGGTATGAAACTTTAGACATAGTTGTTTGTCATTATGTGCTTTACAGTCTTAAGCCTACAGTATGTCCTCTCTTCACTTTATGATGCTTGTCAAATTTATGTTGAATTAGATTTTAATGCTGTTAATTGTTATTCAGATCTGATTGAAAGATATATATTTATTGTAGTTTCTACTTAAACTTACATTAACTTAACTCATTAACTTACACCTTTAATGCCAGGCTTAAGATATCCCAGACCAAGAAATCAACACTTTGGTTTTCATTGTTTGGTACTTCTTGCATAGGATGAAGTAAATATGCATAGGATGAAGTAAATATAGTCTATTTTGCATAGTTAATATATCAACAAGGTACATATTATCTGTTTACTTCTGTAATTCAATTGTTTAGAATCTTCCTAGTTTGAATTTTTCTTGTTTTTTGACAAGTGCAGCCACACTCTAATTGGTTACAAAAGTGTTTGTATTCAGATGCTAATTTCCACTCCTAGGAACATTTTGTAACCAGGTCAGTATTGCTTAGAATATATATAGAGATTTGCTTATATATAAACTTATTTGCTCTTTGGGGAGCAAGACAATCTAATCCAGTTATTTTAGTTGTTTAAACACTGTCAGCCCTGTTTATTGCTTCAGCTGTGTGACTACAGTTTACACATTTTGTATTTGTAACTCAAGGAAACTTGAATAATTTCATTTATGGTATAGAATTATACAAACTCTCTGGGATTGGTTTATATTGGTATTGAAGAAACATAACATTTTAAACCCATAAGAAGGTGTTTGTGGGGCAGTGAATGATAATGTGTCATCTGTTATTAATGTAATGTGACGGTCATATAGAATGGCTTTGGTCTTTGGGGAAAGTGCTGTGAGGACAAATCTTATACACCCTGGGTTTTTGTATAGAAGGGGGATCATGTATTCTTCTTTTTTTTTTTTTTTTTTTTTTTTTTTTTTTTTAGCTCAGATTGATTTATTGTAAACTAGACAAAAAAGAAAAACACAACAACAACAAATAATGAGAGGATAGATGACATAAGGTACTAGTAATGGTAGATAGATAACATATAAGATAATGAATACTACACTATTTCAGTTTTCTAGATAGCCTCTCGAGACTGTAAATCTCATCCAGGCAGATTTTGGGATTTATTGCTTCTGTGGCAAACCATTTTCTCCTTTAGCTATGGTTATGGCTAAGCTTAGAGGTTTACATATTATTTCTGCATGCTGGAACTGTGAAGGGTTGATTTATTTTATTACTCTATTAACATCTTGTATCACATGCAAACCACTTTGTTGAGAATACTGTTTTTTGATGCAAAGTAGCTGTTCATGGTTCTTAATTTTAAGCATACTGATGTCTGAATTTCTGTCTAAAGGAGAACTCATGATTTGTTTATATACTAGAGGTTACTACATCACTATACATTTTTAAATGTATTTATGCTGTGCAATTACTTCTAGACAAAAATACTAGATTAACCCTTGTTGAGACCACTGTCCTGTTATGGTCTAATGTGTTCTAACCAGGGACAATAGTTTAAAAAAATTAAATCATGTTGATCTCTTTCTTATCAATGAGTCATTGAGCATTTAATAAACTAACCAGTTAAATTGTGTCCATGTCCCTGTGCAGTATACTACACATGTCAGCAAGGGCCAAGTAGTTGTCATTTTAATTAGAGGGGGAATATGATCTTTCTCTGGTGAACAGCTGTTTAGTGTTTGTACCACATTAGCTCATGATTACGCCACCATTCATCACCCATGGATCAATTGCGCAGTAATCACACCTCTGCAGTCTTGTTTATTTAAAGGGCTTGCTTTCATGCTCTAAACCTGCAATATGATACCAAACGCTTGCCTAATGTCCCATGTCTTTATAGCTATGTGTGTTCATCCAGGTAGTGCTATTGATTAGAGACAGGGCTTTTAATTTGAGTTGTATTGATTTAAAATATAGCTGTGCTTCTTTTTCCAATCTTTAGTTGAGAGCTTTTAAGTATAACAGGATTTTCAACTGTTTAAACTGTGCTCATCCATTTAGTCTAGAGCTATTCCTTCTGTGGCTCATGTTGACTTTCTCTGTTTCTGCGTAAATAGTTTGGCATCAGGTAGATTAGTAGATTCTTGTATCAAACACAGTTTGTTTTTTTGCACTAAAATGCTCAGTATTAACTATATGCTTCCTGTCATTTTTTACTTTCAGACAGCAGCGCTTTGGATACACAGGTTTATTATGAATCTTAACTGTTGTGCATGTATGTTTTGTATGTTATTGTGATCTCCCCTCCCCTTGAATGTAAAGCTATATAGAAAACAGTGTCCTGTACTGTGTGAAAAAAGTTTCTTATGTCGAGACATGACATACAGAATACTGCATGTGCCAGTAAGTCATGTTGTCAGTTTTTCACCTTCATAATTCTATTTTGTCAAAGTAGCTACTTTATTAGGAGTGGATGTGCAGTCAATGAAAAGGGAGGGTTACACAATGGGCAGATTTGGCTTGAAGCATCAAAAGGGCAAAATTCTTTTAGAGTTTATATCCCACACATTACACTGATATGGAATAATTTGGTCTATAGCACAGCCCTCCTCACTCTTTTTTTTTTTTCTTTTTCATTTTCAATCTTGTGACTGTTTATTGTTCTAAACTGCTATGTTTGTAACATTTGTAACTCTTGTCATATTGTTTATGTTTTTTTACTTCAAAGCCCCGCAGCATTCTGGATCCCAAACTGCTTGGCTTGCAGTCTGTAGGGTGAGTGGTGGCTCATTTCTTGATTAGATCACTTCTACACTCTTCCAGGTTGCTTTGCGCTTGGTAAACCCCCAAATTCGGAAAGAGGTCCTGTAAATGCTGAAAGCATGCCGTTGGCATTCAGCCAAACTTAAGGTATTCTGCTCAATTTGATGCACCACAGAGAGGCTACTTTTTACAGTATACAAAATGGCTCATAGTTTCTGCAGGTAAAATGCTTTTGTTTAGGATATGGTAGAAACCAGCAGACCCAATAAGATAATAAGTTGGGGCCTTTAATATTACTGTAATTGTCCATTAAGTCATGAATTGCTTAGTCATGGCCCATGCAACATTGTACTGTTCATTGTATTGAAGGTGACAGCAAAGCTTGAGGTGTAGATGCATCATGATGTTGATGTCATGTTCAGGTCATTATAGAGGCATTAAGTGTCAGCTGAGGAGATGCCACTGAAAGCCTCATGGGGAAAAGCTGGACTTGTGGGAAAGTAGCAGGGAACCTCTGAGCCTACTCTGGGCTTACAGTTGGGGATGAAGAAAGCAATTTAAGAAACAGATGTACAAAATATTTTTTGTCATATTTTTGACATGTCTAAATGCTCTAGATATGCCTGAGTCTCAAAATCAGTATTATTAACTGGTTACATTGGTAGTGAATACATATATTTGCATTTATTAATCATAACATGAACTATATTCCCATATGAGGTGTGTATTAACAATAGTAAAAGGCTCTGAAAGAAAGATGGCACAGGGCATATGTGAACAGCAGAGAGCTTGAAGGATTACCAGAGCCCTTATGGAGGTGATAGGTCTCATGCTACGCTCAGGGCAGAGGGTGAGGTATGTAAGGTAGCTATGAGCCATGATCCATGGTGTTTGCTGTGTGTGTAAATCACGGCCCCCTTTCAACAGAGTAATGTCTCTCCCAACATGGCATTATTATGATATTAATACACTTTCAATCTGTCTGCTTTCCCAGGGCTGGCAGTATTCTTTATGGTATTGACAGCATGCCAGATTTACGTCGAAAGAGGACAGTGCCTCTTGTCCGAGACCTGGTGAGTCATCTACCTCAACAAGGTTATTTGTTATTTATGTCAAATCTTAGTGAGCCTACTTTACAATGAAACAGTGGTTTTGTTCTCTGTGTGAGAGTGCTCCCCTATTAAACTGAAAGTCTCCTAACTGTAATTATTACATTTATTATAAGGTAATAATGTCTTTAGTGTATTTGTATTACACAAATGGATTTGAATTGCAAGTATGAACACAAGTTTGGCTGTTCAGTGAGGGAAGAGACTTGTGGCCATGTTAACGTAACCTTAGCTTTAACTTTGTTGGATTTATTAATTAGCCTAGAGAGGATGTTTAAGACACTGAATCATAAAATGCCCACCAGTGTTTTGTAATAGTTATCTTTATTTTTGAGTGCCTGTTTCTATTCTCTTGCTGTTCTTGAACTCTACATTGCAACACTGGAGTTTCCCAATCGTGGGACAAATAACGCTGATCTGACCTTAGGACTGCACCACATGGTTAGGTTACCAAAATGGAAATATGAGAGTAATCATTTCTGTTATATAGGTTTGTCCATTATGTAATTTCTGTTTGTCTTGTCTACATGTGTTTTTCATCACCATGAGTTGTAGTCAATTGGTTGCAAACATAATTACTCCTTAGTTAATTTAAGAAATTACATTTAAATTGAATGATACTTGAAAATAGTATGGTGTCATGCACAGGTAGATACTTTGAATGTTTATTACACAGTGAACAACATGAGTTGATGCTGTATTTGTCCATATCTCTCATTAAATTAATTACCAACAATGTCTTGGTAAGTATGGGTTATTGTTTTTTTTTTATTTACTTTTAAAAACTATTATTATTTTTTATCTTTTGAATTTTGCGTGTATATTTGCCATTCCTACATAGACCCATAACAGCTATGGGTAATATTTTCAGTGGGTTGTCAGATTTCAGCCTGACTGATGCTTTGATTTTTTTCTCTTTCTGCTCAGCAGGTGATGAAATTTTGATTTACCTGAAATGTTGACAACTCAACTTAAAAATATATATTTGAAGACTTCATTGACTTCTGATTTAACGGTGTGAGGCTTTTAAATCATGTAAAAGTGACACTGGTGAGCCTTTTACACATGGGATGAAGTCAGTAGTCAGCAAACTAATTGGTCCCCTCTCATGCCTATCCTTTGTCAATATCCCTCATTTGCTGTGTGATTGCTTCAGGGCAGCAACAGCGTGTAATTGGGACAGCAAGCAAGGCTTCCAGCAACACAAATAAGGAAAAATAACAATCAAAAAAAGTAAAGTGAAACATTAATTGCCAAAGTGACAGTCCACTGTAGCTGAAGCTTATATGTGAATATGGGTTCGTAATGCATTGCCCGCAGCAACCTCAGCAGTGCCGGTGCATGTTGATAAACTTACATCAACACAGTTCATGTAGAGGTCGCATACCCTCCTACATTCTCCATGGCCTTCATGGATCTTTACCATAGCTGAGCTGTGCAGACAAGTGTGGGTGCTGGTAAAGACTAATCCAAAACTCAGCTGTCCATGTCTGCATTCCTCTTACATGACTACCTTTACTGTAGACTTTATGTACTTACTCTAATCACTCAGTGGATAGACAGCAGCTAATTGGTGTGGGTACTAGTGTGTGTAACATCCATGTCAGTCAGTGTTGGTCTGGGTGTGTGTCCTGTTTGTATGAGTAAGACTGAGTTGTGTTTTGCAGCTGGCTTCACCCATTCATGAGTGTATGTGAGTGTTTCTGTGTTCACCTAATGTGCTAAGCAGACAGCAGAAAATATGATCAAAGCTCCATCCAGCAGAGAACTGAATAAAAAGCTAAGCATGACTGCAATTTGGTGACTTTTGCATGAGTGGTTAAAAGTCATGCAACAGCTGAATAATCTCACTTGATTGATAGTGATCTCTGCAGAGCCGTGCACCAAACTCACAGTCCTGCATGGCAGTTGAGCACCTATCTCCGCTAAGTTTTGTCAAACATAACTCTGCTGTTTGTAATCTACCTGTTCCTGCCACATCTGATCTGTCTCTAACTCAGTTTCCATTTCTTTTTACTGTTTTTGCTACTGGAAATCATAGGCTTTGGTAAGTCATGTTTTTATTATATTAATTGTAACAAAACAAAAAGATTTCTTGATATTAAATTTACTAAGTACACATTTTCAAACAGTGCACTGCAACATACCTCTCTGTGCCTATAGCAGTACAATACAGCTGGTGTTTCCTCGTCACATACTCACTTCATTTTGACTTTTTATTTTCTTTGGAAGGATATTTTCTTATGTGATTTGTTTCATTTCTGCTTCAGACCCTCGCTGCACGAAAGGCAGGCATCTCGTTCGCTCTAGTGAACCGCTCCACCCTGAATAATGAGGATCTGGTGAGTACTGACACATCATGTGTGCATGGTCTTTACAGTCCCTGTGAACAGTGAACACAGGGTTATTCTAGGCTACTGTAGGACAGAAGGCAAGGCAAGGCGAGTTTATTTGTAGAGCACAAATCATACACAAAGAAATTCAAACTGCTTTAAAGAATAATAAATACATTAAAACCATAAAATTAAAAAGAGAGAGAGACATTAAATTAAATTAAATTAAAAAGAGTGCAGAATGGAAAAATTAAAACCTTTCAGTCATATGCATAGCTAAACAGAACTGTTTTGGATTTAAACAGCATCAACGTAGAGGCCTGTCTCACATCTTCAGGAAGACTGTTCCAGGTTTTAGCTGCATAAAAGTGAAACGCTGACTCCCCATGTTTAGTCCTGATTCTGGGCACCAGCAGGAGGCTGGTCCCTGAGCTCCTCAGAGTGCGAGATGGTTCATATGGCACTAACATGTCAGAGATGTACTGTGGTGCTAGTCCATGGAGAGACTTGTACACAAGCAGAGTCGCTTTAACGTGTATTCTCTGAGCCACAGAAAACCAGTGCAGAGACCTGAGCACAGGACTTATATGCTCGTACTTCCTGGTTCAAGTCAGAACCCGAGCTGCACCATTCTGAATATACTGCAGCTGTCTCACAGCTCGTTTGGAGAGGACAGTGAGCAGGCCATTACAGTAGTCTAACCTACTGGAGACAAACGCATGGATGAGTCTCTCCAAGTCTGCTTTAGACAGTAAACCTTTGCTTTTTGCTCTGTTTTTAGATGGTAAAAGGCTGCAGATGTTATTGAGTTGATGTGGCTGTTAAAGTTCAACTCTGAGTCCATTATTACCCCTAGATTTCTAGACTGATTTGAAGGTTTTAGAGAGAGAGACTGGAGGTGAGTGACACTCTCTTTGTTTCTGTGAGCCCGTGACTTCTCTCTTGTCTGAGTTTACCTGCAGAACGTTGTTTTGCATCCACACACTGAACTATTGGATGTAATGGCAGAGTGAGTCCACTTGTCCACAGTCCCTGCTGCCAGTGAGAAATAGATCTGAGTGTCGTCTGCATAGTTGTGGTAGGACACATTATTGCTGTGTATTAAGTGGCCTAACGGCAGCATGTGGAGATTGAACTAAAGGGGGCCCAGGATTGACCCCTGGGGCACGCCACAGGACAGGGCCATGTAATCTGAGACACAGTTTCCAATTTCAACAAAACACTTACTTTCTTGATAGTACTTGAACCAGTACCAGAGAAGCCCACCCAGTCCTGTAGTCTTTGTAAGAGGATCCCATGATCAACAGTGTCAAAAGCAGCATTCAGATCTAACAGGATCAAGCATGAGACTTTGTCTGCATCAGTGTTCAGGTGGATGTCAACTTGATAAGAGCTGTGGTGGACTCTAAAATTTGACTGGAAAATATCAAAGGACTTGTTAAGTTGGAGAAAGTTAGTAAGCTGTTGGTAAACAGCTTTTTCAAAACTTTGCCAAAAAACAACAGATTTGAGATGGGTTGGAAATTGTTCAGTACTGTGGCATCAAGACTGCTCTTCTTTAGGAGAGGCTTAATGACCTCAGTTTTCAAAGCCTTTTGGAACGTTCCAGATTGAAGTGATATGTTAAGTTTGCAAAAAGTTGAGGACAGACTTTAGAAATCTAGTGGGTAACAGATCTTTAAGACAGTTTTGTCAGGTACAGGCTCAGCTCTAAGTGTCTCTGTGGCCACATGCTTGTTATTTGCATTGTGGAATTGATGGCATTTTTGATGCCCTGAACATTGTCATTAAAAAATACTGCAAACTCATTGCACTTAGATGTGGAAATTAGTTCTAATGGCAGTGGAGCTGGAGGGTTTGTTAATCTGTTCACTGTGTGTTCGCAGAGTTGTTATTGCAATTTCCAATAATGTCTGAAACCTCTCTCTTGTTCTACCCAAACTGTAGTTGTACATATGCATCTTTTCTCTGTAAATCTCTAGAAGTTTGATTTGCCCCATTTCCGCTCGGCCCTCCAGCACTCCCTTTTCCGTGCCCTGTACGAGTCATCATTCCTCCACGGAGCTTTTTGCTTATCTTTAACCATTTTAACCTTCATTGAAGACACATACTCCAGTTTTTTAGGTTATGCAAAGAAAAGTTCTAGAACTCTGACAAACCTTTACAGTTTGGAGTTTCCATTGTACTCAAGGGGCTGCAATGTTAAGATTGGAGTAACAGGTTTCAGAGTGAAAATTAGATATTAGTTTATGGCTTTATCATTAGATATTCATATGGCTTGGCATCACATTTTTCTTTTACTGTTTCACTTTTTCAATGTGTGTAAACACTACTTTTTATATTTGCCATTTGATTTATCCTTTGCTCTTAATGTCACATTGTCAGTACATTGCAATGCAATAAATACCATGTGTATATAAAAATTCTGTGATAGAGAAAAAGCAAATAATCCCAGTCAATGGTGAGAGACACTTATGTGTTGACCTCCAAAGGGCTCTCTGCATTAATTGATTGCAATTCTTGCCTCCCTGAGGGAAGGTGGGGTTATTGGAGTCAAACAGCACGAGAAAGCAGTTTCTAAGCTGTATAACCAAGATGGTAATTTCATATCTGATGTGTAACATGATGCTGTCTTAAGCCTGTATGATTAATGCATTCAGAAGAGCTCTTTACCATATGCAAGCACTCATATTTCATCTTTACGGTTGTTATTTTCACTGTGGCTTTGTGCATTTTTGCCTTATAAGTCAGTTGCCCTCCAGTGACAGCTTTTCATCACTTACTTGAATAAATGATCTTTAAGTAAGAAGAAAAAACACTACCTTGTCTTTATTGTTGAATTAAGTCTTGGGTTGATTTTTAGGCATCGTTGACATTTGCTGTCTTAAACTTCAAATTCATGAATGAATTGATATCCAACATTCTGATTAAAGGGATACTCGAAGTAGACATAATTGGTTGTGGTAGCTGAGTTCCCAGCAAAGCTACGGACTGTGTAGTCTTGTTAAATAGGACAAACAGATGTCAGAGTTTTATCTGCTGTATTAAGTCCAGAGGAGTGCTTCTTTGAGTGAGTGCATCTGAAATGTCCGTATTGCATCAGAAATGTCCATGTTTGGTACTGCAGAGGCCCCATGAACACAGAATCCAAATGTGAGCAGGTTAATTTAACCGACTGTCACTTGGCAAGCAGGTGTGTTAATATTCCATTACATCAAATGTATGCATATGAGAAATTCTATTAAAAGCTCATTACGAAATATACTCAATACAATTCGAACACAGTCCCACATTATTTCACAAACTGTGACCTGCTGATATGTATATTTTCAGTATGTGTGCACCTTGTTTATAGACTCAGAAGGGACCCCACCAATTTGTTTTGACACTTGTTATCAAGGAACATTTAATGTGGTGGAACAGATTATGGGAGAACTCTGTAATGGGAAACAACAGATCTGTAAAAAATATTCTGAGCAAGAAAAAAACAAAAAAGTTATGAAATAAAAGGCGAAGAGAGGATCTTAGATTGTACTAGTCATGTCATGTTGCTCTGAGGCAAAGCCCGGGGCTGTCAATCAGTAGCAGCAGACAGCAAAGCCACCAGGGTTACATCACAGTATAACACATTCACACATACATACTCGCACATGAAGCGTTTTTCATGTGTCATTTTGTGGACTATAGAGTCTCTGAAATGAAAGTCAATTGAGGTGAAGATTGGGTTGAAAACATAGCAATTCAGCAGTAATTCTTTGTGCAAATCTGCAATCTATTAACATCTTCAATACTTTTTATATGCTTTTACAAACAGAATAAGGAGTACACTGGCCTATTCTGCTTAACTGACAAGCCAACTGGAAATATGAATGTTTCATTTACCCATTCAATTTCTTCCGCTTTATCAGGGACCAGGTCATGGAGGCAGCTGTGTGGTGCCTCCACGAGTGTGTGTGTAAAGACATCCCTTTCCACGCCCACTTCCTCTAGCTGTTCCGGGAGGATCCCAAGGTGTTCCCAGCCGATAGACAGAGTGTCCTGGGTCTTCCTTCATACCATTTTAATTGCTTGAATTATTATCACCTAACAGCAAAGGAAGTGGGACAGTGGACCAGAGCAACAAAACAAAAAGATCAATACAATCAGTCCTTTAAGTGAGAATGTGAAAAAGATGCTTTCTCCAGACAGTCCCCTTTCATCTAGTGTGAATTCTGTCTTCATGATTAGATGGCCTAGTATTACATTTGGCTAAGCTTGTAGTTTTGGATCTGGTGAGACTCATGTAAAAGTTGTGGATAAAGTCAATCTGAGACATCTGCTTTTTCTCATCATCCTCAGATTACTGTGGGAAATCCCTATCTTCCTTTGGTTCATTACAGCTTCTGTCCAGTCTTGCATTTCACTATGACACTGCATCTTTTTGTTGAGAACTATGAGATTAGTGTGCTACCTCTTTTGACTTAATTTTCTAAGAGAATAATGTACTCTTGAAATATAGTTCTTGATTATTCCTTTAGCATTAAACACATAGTTAACACATTGGGACTGTCAACAAAGGGAGGGAAAGAGGAGGAAACGAAGTGCAGACACCTCTTAAAGATTTATTTAACAGCGATACATCTCCTTCTCTCCTTCTGTCACTTACTCGCCCTCTCAGTCTTTCTCTCTCAATCTGGATAATGCTCACTTTTAAAAACTTTATTTACAGCATCCATTGATTGTGCCATCAAGAATTGGCAAGTCCCTGCCTGTTTTCCGCTCCCAGTGGATGGGGGTTCGGCTGCAGTAAATTGCATCGAATTTACCAAGGCTTCTGTTACACTGCAGTCAGTCTAGACACCCCTCAGAGTTGGGTATGAAGAAGCTTTGAACGATTAGGCGTGTTTGAATAAATCTGTGGCAAATAAAGAAACTCATTTACAATCAAATACACATGTATACTTATATATACTTATATGTAGGTTAATGGACACAAGGCTGTAGAGCAATACAATGCTATACATGATACAAACAAAATGTACGAAGATAAACTGTTGATTACAATCACCAATTATGATTATGTTGTAAAAATCTGTTTTCTATTCAATATTAATCCAACAAGTGTATATAATGCTTTTTAAAACATGTTTTTCATTTTTATTTAGTGTTGTACTCAATGACACTTTTGTATACAATACTCATATCTCAAATCTTAATCTCCTACTTTTTTGTTGCTTTATTTTCAGAAACTCCATGTTTTCAAGAAGACTCTCCAAGCACTAATTTACCCCATTTCCTCTACAACGCCTCACAACTTTGAGGTCTGGACAGCCACCGCTCCCACTTACTGTCATGAGTGTGAGGGGTTGCTCTGGGGTATTGCACGCCAAGGGATGCGCTGCTCTGAATGTGGTGTCAAGTGTCATGAGAAGTGCCAGGACTTACTCAATGCAGACTGTTTACAAAGTAAGAGAGGAAATACATTTGCCTGCAGTTAAGATAATAGTTTGGTCTGACAGAAATGCTATTTCTTATTTTGCTATGGTACATCTGCTTAGAAATATAACATATGTGTATGTATTGCTATGTAATCTTCTTTGAAGCTAAAATGCCATGATGCTGTTTCGAGTCTCTCACTGGGATTCATCACAGTTTCAATCAGCGTTTCCAATCAGCCACCCCCATTGTCAAAAGAACAATGTAACACACAAGCTCCTCGTGAGCCACGCGGCATATCTAATACACTACTAAATGGATTAGTTTCTCCATGGCAGTTTGGAACCTCCAATCTGTTTATGCCAGCATAAAATATTCTTTATATTCCTTCATCTTCTGATTCATCTTCAAATCTGTGCTTTTAATGAACTCAGGCTACATGATGGTATCTTGATAAGCAGATTTACCATAACATACAGTACCCTTTTGCTCTGGCAATACACGCAGTAATAAACATTATTTGCCTGTGTTGTGTTTACCAATGAGATTCTTGTATAAACAGTATCCTTGCCATTCTTTATTATATGCATAGCAGTGGAGAAATATCTTTTATGCAGTTTAGTGATGAAAAACACATAGGGATTGATTACATAAAAATCAGAAAATAACCTTGCAATTCTCTTGTTTCAGGGGCGGTGGAGAAGAGTTCCAAGCATGGAGCAGAGGACAAGACTCAGAACATTATCATGGCAATGAAGGAACGCATGAAGATTCGAGAAAAGAACCGTCCTGAGGTGTTTGAAGTTATCCAGGAAATGTTCCAGATTTCTAAAGAGGATTTCTCCAGTCATCTGAAGACTGCCAAGCAGGCTGTGCTGGACGGAACCTCCAAGTGGTCTGCCAAGATCAACATTATAGGTTTGACTCATGTGTCTAATCACTCTGACATTCTTATCAGCAAGATTTACTGAAATATTCATATGCATTATTCAAACAGTCACAATGATTTTTGCTTTCACTCCAGCAGTATTATAATACAGTAGTATTGTTATTAACCACTGGATCCTTATTCTATTTTACAAGCAATAATATAAACACGATTACAGATACATACTGCATTTGGTTACTTGAAAGTTTTGGACATGATTGTGATCTGAGGCTTAAAAATCTTTTACATTATTATTTTGCCTGAGGATTAGAAGCCTTGTGCATTACCTTCATTTTAGAATACGAGGCAGATCTCCAAATTCTGGATTCCATAGGCTGGTGTCCATTACAGTAAATGGGATTGTTTTTGTAATTATACCTACCTATATAAAGCCATTTTATATTTAACAGTCTTTCAAGGCCTATATATTCTCAAAAGTATGCCCAGCAGCAATAGTAGATTGTGGCTTAGATGTATGATGCTATTTTCTATACAGTCTAAAATAATGGATACACAAGAGGTAGCAGACTTTATTTGGCTTCTTAATTGGTCAAACACACTAAAAAATCACATAACATACATACAAAACAGACATACAAAATAAAACTCTAGGTATGTTTTTATTGGCAAGGTCAAGAGCAAAGCATGCAACCTCCAGCCCGGCCGGCACATGGATCTGCGTGTGTGGTAACTGTGCCAGGCTGAGTTCAGTTATTGCCCACTTTGCATTTCTGACAGCATCAATCAATAGACTGGAGAGAGACAAGAATTTGAGACCAGGGGAAATGCCGCTGCAAAGAAAAAAAGAGAAAAGCTAGAAGAACGGGAAAAGGGAATAGAATGACATGAGAAATACCCAGGGTTGCCTCTGTGAATCACCTAGAGGTTTTATTGAAAGTCCAATTTTGGATTTATTGAGCAGTCATATTTTTACTATCATATGGGAAAACAATAGGCCTCAAATGGCACTGGCCGTGAGTTGTTCTAATTTTGGAAATGTGCCATTAGAAGGAAAGGCAGCAGATGCAACACAAATATAAATAAGTCTATTGAGCAAATCTGATAAAAGCCTTAGACATTTTAATAGAAAGGTTGACCTACTACTGCCTTCCATCTGTCATATTTTAGTTTCCCAGATGTTGCTTTTGTCAACTCGGCTTATAGATTGTGACTGGTTGAGCAGAGCCAGATACATGAAAATAAAACTTTGCTACTTTTCAATAATTCAGTAATCCATAATTAAACTGCCTAAAAGTTAAGTCATATAGCAATATAAAATGCAGTAGTTATTATGTTTTTGACCTCAACTTGAACCCAATGATATATTGTATTTGTATTTTTGCTGTCTCTATTGATCAGTAAATATCATTGGGACGGAACATTTTATTTGAATTGAGGCATTTGATTTTAAATGTTCTTGAAGCAAACAGTGTATGCCCCTCCTGCCCACCAGCTCCTGTCTGCATCGAGCTGGGGGTTATATATGTACCTTGAATAATTTAGACCATCACTTATGCATATTTAATGTCCCAGTGTCCTTTTTCCTTTTATGGCAGTGAAATACTACTGCCTTTCTGCACCTCCAGCCCATGTGCTGAAGGGAGATTCTCAATCACTGATCTTCTTTGTTGATATGTGAAGATTGCTCTGCTGTTTGAGTTGAAAAAAGCACTCAGGATATCTACAGAATTGATCAGAATGCAGATTTTCCTACACTATAGTTTCAGTGAACACCTTACTCTTGGCAAGAAACTCTGGCTGCAATACAAACCTCTGACTAAAAATATAGACAGTGGCACAGTTGTGAATATTAAGCAAGAAGTACATTACACTGTAGAAATGGGTGTTGACTCAAATTGAGAATGTATAAAAACATACATTTTTATGCTATACATTTTTCATCTATTTGAATATGTATGTTCTCATTTTCTAGTCATGAGTGCCCAAGGACTTCAGGCCAAGGATAAAACGGGTTCAAGTGACCCTTATGTAACAGTCCAAGTGGGTAAGACCAAGCGCCGGACCAAGACTATTTTTGGAAACCTCAATCCTGTCTGGGATGAAAAGTTTTACTTGTAAGTGTTGCAATTTGTTTTTTTTTTTTATGTCCATTTGGTATAATCTCATTTGATATTTGTGTAAGTTTAATGCTGATAGTGTGATATCATTGGAATCATTGGCTTTGTGAAACTGTTACAAGCTTGAGTATTACTTTAAAGTCATCAGAAAAGCTATCGCTCTCATTTATTGTGCCATTATTTTACAGTCCTGCCTTTTAAAAGCAAAATTGGGCCTTGATTTTTATAGTGTACTTTTTCATTTTGAAATCCATCTGAAATATATATATTTTTTATAAATAATCTATTTGACTAATTTGTTTAGCATTTCTTAGCCCTTGACTCAATGTTTCTGCATGCAGGAGCAGCTAAAGACATACCTGTAATGAGACTCCAGCAGTGGCTGTAATAAAACTCTTTCCCATTACTACTGGGATGTAGATTAATAGAGCAATACATTAGTGTGTGCTTGGCAGAAAGAGAGTCCTAGACAAGTGCAGCAGGCTACATCTCTTGAAAAGGATTTGTTAAAAAAAAAATAATAAATGTGTGCGCTGTTTCACTGATTGTTGCATAAAGATGTCATTTGTGGAGTGGAAAAGACTGTTTTTAGTGGCAGGCTAACTATGGCGGTTGATATGCTCTAGCCTGGCACCAGCGACCTCTGCAAATACAAGGATTGGATAGACTATTTTAAAAAGTGTCTCCACATGTCTCCAACACTCTGGCTAACTAGGAAATTAGGTCCTATGTCCAAAATTCTGGACTGTCCCTTAAAAAAACAAAACAAATTGATTCATATTCATTCATATTCAAGTGATGGACCTCAAAGGCCTGTATAAGAGGACTCTATGGGTGAGGCACACAGAAATTTCTAACAGAAAATCAATAAATGTTGAAAGAATAGTGGAGCTGTTAAGGACCAAAATAGTTTGCTTTTATGGTACAAGCATGAAATTTAGTCACATTACTAACACCCCCAGGACTAATATTTCTAGATATGGAACCAAGCCTAAGTCGACCCTGGAGCCGAGAACTGGACGTGTCACAAAATGGACTATATGAAAATGAGGCTGGCATAAAAAACACTGCATAATCCCTTTTTTACAGTCTAATTTGCTTAGTTATCCATTTTGTAATGTTGAACAACAATTTTTCATAAGCTCCAAAGCATTAATGAGGTCATGTGACCATTTTCCTTGAGGCTGTAAGGGTTGTGTGGGCTCCCTGTGGTTGAAATCCAAGTTAATACAATATTTTATCTTTTAACCTGTTACCACCCGCCTCATTTTGGTGTGTGCACAATGGTAAGACATACCCAAATGCCATAGCTTATTAAAAGAAAACCTTAGAACCCACATGCTTGTGTGAGGCACCATTTTAAAGCTTAGGCCTTCTAGTTTCTGTAGATATGTACATGAAGACTGTGAGTGCTGCCTAACCTACAGTACAGTCAATTAAAATTAAAAAAAAAAATGTATTTTTTTGCTTCGAAAAAAAAAAAAATAGAAAAAAATAAAGGCCTTAGCTTGGGCATACTTCATGCTAGGCATTTGTGACTCACTACACTCATTGTTCAAGTTGTTGGCAACAACTGTGTAGAATTTCAGATCTCTAGGACAAAGGGTTTTGATGCTGTGAGCCTTTGTGTATACAAAATGACAATTCGGCACAAGATTGCCAAATTTGTGCCAAAATAATAATAATAATATAATAATAATAATCATTGTTATTATTATAATACTAATTCTTCTGAGCTTTAGGCATGTTTTCTCAAGAAAAAAAACTAAAAGTAGCCAAAATTGTCTTCCAAGTGGCTGTTCTGCTACTACTACTACTGCTCTCTGTGTCTCTCTCCTGGTCCCTCTCGGCTGCGCGTATAAACACAGGGTCCGTTTCCAATACAATCTGAATGTCCCACCCACCGTTTGAAAGCTCTGGTGATAGGCTAAAACAATATGTCAATCACTTTCTGGAAGATCCAATGACTGAAGAGATTTCCCGTAAACAAACTGATGACGCGTGCGTAAAGCCAGGAAGTACGTGAGTGCGTTAGCTTCTTCAGCGGCTTGTCCCACCTAAACCCCGCCACCGACAACAGCGGGGAGGGTCTCATTTTGAAGCTAAGAGTGTGGGGAAAACAAGCGTACCCAAGAGCGGGAGAGAAAGGGAAGTGAGAGCGGGAGAAGAGGCGGAGAAGAGACATAATATTTTCATTCACGGATTCATCCACTCATACGGACGACGATTTTCTGGATTATTCCCCCACATGGAATTATTTTTTGGAAAAACAACTTGATATTCTTTTTCTGTGGATTATTACGGATTTATTGAGTACAACTTTTCATGGATTGAACGCATTTTGGACAGACAGAACCGGCTCAAAGGTAAGAAACGCGTATCTTATTCTTTGTTTATGATGTGAATTTTTAAATTCACATAAATTCGGGCTCGTTGTACGGCATAAAATGAATGATATGGTTGTTTTATTGATAAATTAAGCTTTCAAACGATGTATGGCATGCCAGTAGTGAAAACAATAATGAAGGTGAATATACAGAGTGAACATTTTTTATTGGAAAATCGCCCGCCGGCGGGCGGGTGGATGGTAAGTGGTTTTAAAGCCATATTTATTGGGTTTTTGATAACAAAAACAATTTAAACATCTCTTATGACCTGTAAGTTCCTCATCATGTTTCACAATGGTAATTAAATGCTGCATGGATGTGAGGCATAACCCTAAAAAACATATCAGAGATTTTCCTTAAATCGTTAAACTTATTCAAAGTGCTCTAAGTGCAGCTGCTGCCACATTGGCATGAATCTATACATGCCAAATTTGTCTTTGCACACTTGCATCACCCAGCACAGGCTACTCTGCATCCACACTTGATAAGTTCATAGCACGTTCTTTGCCTGGTGGAGCGTGGTCCACAACTGTAACTAGTGACTGTCATCACGCTTTGGGTTTTCTGTTTGGGGGTCCACAACCTGCTTCTTTTATGATGTCACATCTTTGGCTGGAATCTTTCACTGTATGACATTAAACATCAGTATTGTGTTTATTCAGTTAAGGACTGAAAATGTGTTTATTGCTCAGATACCTAAAATGCAGACATTCTTACATTTAGTGGGTCTATTGCTTGTGGGACGCCAGTCATTGTGTCCTTAGGCAAGGCACTTCACCCACTTTGCCTAGTATGAAAGTAGTGTGTGTGCGAGTGATGGTGGTGGTCACAGGGACTGGTGGTGCCGATTGGCATGGCAGTCGCGCTTCTGTCAGTTTGCTCCAGGGCAGCTGTGGCTACAGTAGTAGCTTACCACTGGGTCTAGAGTGAATGAATAATGCTGAATAATGATCTGCAAAGTGTCTTTGTGACATATGTCTGTGAAAAGAACTATATAAATAAAAATACGTACTTACTTGTCACCAGGGAGATGGATAAGTTTAAAGTCATACTGTGAAACCTTTTACATAGCCTGTATATCTCACATTATTGGGTATATATACTAAAACATAGTAAATTTGTGGTCTTAAAAATGGGTTTATATCTTTATTACAATCAATCGATTGCAATGAAAATATGACAAAACCTGTCACTAAAACCTGGTCTAATCTTGTCTTAATTTGGTCATAATCCCAAATCACCATCTCCACAGTTTCAAAGGTGTTCTCAGTCTGGTGTGGGATTACTGGAATGAGCCGTCCACCTCTGCTCTTGTCATTATTGTTATTATGATACTGTGATGGGTTAGGAGGGATTTTTGGGCATACATTTGTTAGTAGTATTAAAGATGTACTATGTAACTTTTCTGCTGGGAGCGAAAATGGCAGTGTTATATTGTTACTCAATATGGTATTAAACTTGTCTATCTCTATGGAGACAAGAAAGTGGCGCAACCAGGCCATGTTTACAGGCCAGATCTATGGAGAGGTGGTTATATAGGTTATATACATACATACTATATATATATATATATATATATATATATATATATATATATATATATATATATATATATATATATATATATATATATATATATATAGGTTATATAAATACGTTGAATGCCTTACTGATGAATATTTCAGGCAAAGCAATGAAATCTCCATAGTAACAAGCAGGTGTAACATCTATAACAAGACTGCATTAAAGAAACTTAAGTCAGCTTCAGGTTTTATCTACACAGTCTTATATAAAATGCTAGTCACTAAAGTGTAGTTAGTAGTTTTTATGTGTATACTTTATACTTTTATTCAAGCACAAGTTTTGCAGTAGTACTTGTCAATGAGTAGATGTTTTGCTATGTAACTGTACTTGTACTGTACTCACAGAAGAGCTGATTGAACCATTGAATATACAGGCTAAAGAAAGATTAGGGGGAGAGAGAAATGAAGATAGAAAATCAAACCTACACAAAACTATTTTCATGAAGTTTTACTTTTGCCTTGAAGTGGGACTAAACACCTCAACTCCGCCCACAAACACATTTCAAATAGCGCTGATAGACTGAGTGGTACCTGGAGGAGTAAAGGAGAGAGGGGCGGGGCTAGGGGGTATAAGGAACAGTGTGACTGGTCTAACAGGCATCCAAACTACAAACTCCTCTCCTATAGCCAGGGATTTGTAAACAAAAAAAACTGGCTGTAATCAGGGCAGTTCTACGTGATGTCACATAGTACTTGATATCACAGAGGCCACTAGAGTTCACACACTCTCATTTTTACACATTGTTGCCCAGATTCTTTTGCTAATTTACCGAGTTTGCTCTTAAAATGACCAAACAAGCACTAGAAACAGTAAATGACACTATTAAAGATGCACTGTGTAACTTTTTGATTCGGGGCCCGTCACCTGCTTGTTTCTATGGAGATGTCATTGCTCTGCCTGGAATGTTCTACAGTATGACAATAAACAGCTCTACCTTACATTTATTCAATTACAGTTGGTTTTATAGCTCAAAAATACCTAGAAAAACAGACATTCTGACTGTGAGCGAGGTCGCCTCTCCACAGATCTGACCTGTAATTTGGCCTTGTTTAGTCTGCATGAAGATAGAAAGATTTAATGCCACACTGTGAAACAATCCAGACAAAGCAATAACATCTCCATGGCGACCAGAAAAGTTACATGATGCACCTTTAAAAAAACACCATTAGTTTAGTAGCTTTTTTTGTTGTTGTTGTTGTTATTTAATGTTTACTTTCACTTTAAAAACAGCATTGAAAGTAGCTAGTATCTTGATACATATTCTTCTTTATAACCTATATGATAATTTAACATTATTTTCCAAAAAAGAAGGTTTAAGCAGTAATTGAGCTCCCAGCCTCGTTTCCATGTCGGCCATTTTGTAACATGCGCGGTACTCGGCTCCAGAGTCGACTTGGGCTTGGTTCCATATCCAGAAATGTTGGTCCTAGGGATGTTAATAATCTGGCAAAGTTTCATGCTTGTACCTTAAAAATGAACAATTGGGCACTATTTTGGTCCTTAACAGCTCCACTAGAATTGGATCCACACATTCACTGTCTTAATCTTGCTGTTTAATGTCCTGTCACTGAACCTAGTCACACCTGAGATTTAAGCTATTATGCTGACAGAACTGGAATCCAAAATCCAAAACATATATATATATATATTCTCAGTGATCAAACTGTCATCCGTACGATAAAGGGTTAAGAATCGTTGTCAGAATAGTTTCTGCTTGAATTGTTCTTCTGACTGTCATTCCGCTCCACTGAATTCCCACAAACTTGATGAGCTGTCATTGAATGTGCTCCTGCCATTGCTCATGTCTCAGCGTTTGTGTTTTGACTTGGGTGCAATCATCTTCCAAATCGCAGTGAATGCCACAACGCCACCGACCGCATCAAGGTGCGAGTTTGGGATGAGGATGATGACATCAAATCACGGGTCAAGCAGCATTTTAAGAGGGAGTCGGATGATTTCTTGGGCCAAACCATCATCGAGGTCCGCACTCTGAGTGGAGAGATGGACGTTTGGTATAATTTGGGTATGAACAACTTCTGCCTCCCAGCACTTACTATAACTGAATGTTTTTTACTTTTTAGTTTAACACAACCTTACATCAGTTTTTTATTGTGGTCACTGGTCAGGCAACAACTCAGCTGAGGTCACCCATCATGCCTTGTGATTTGTGGTTCAGTTTCAGCACTTGATATAGGTCTAGGTAGCTGGTTTCATGCCGTATAAAATTGAATGGAAGCATATAGGCACCTCCACATCTACTGAACACAATGACCGGCCAGTACTGTCTTTGTTTGCCACGTGAGCTAAAAGATGGCAATTTGTGGTAATAGGGACCCCTGCTCTCTGCTGCTGCTCTGAGCCTTTTTAAACCTCCTCAATGAATGTTTAAACAGGACTTTACTGATGTGGTGTCCTCCCTCCACCTACTCCACTCTTCAGGCCACTTCACATCCTCTTGAACTGTGGCCTTTATCCTTTTGTTGCGCTAATGTCATGATCATTTTGAATCATTATATTTCACATTTGTTTCTTTTGACTGATTGTTGAGGGGTATAGTCTAACATGGTCATACAATTTATTACACAGCAGAACCACAATGGCAGTTTAACAGCCATTATCTCTGAAAGGTCCTGCCTGCAATTAGACCTACTGAAATCTATACATCAATTCACCTTAATATAGGCTAAAATCTCAACTGCAGTACTTAATGAGATACAGTGCAAGGTAATATACTTTTCCCAACAGACCTTCCATTAGTGAGAAGAATTACTGAAGAATACTGAAAAAACACACACATACTTACAATGTATATAATTTATTATACATCTGAATTATAAGGATCTTGACCCCTCTCACAATATGTTATTATTAGTAGAGATTGGTAGCGCCTTCCTTTACAGAACTGTAAAAGCATGCTAAAGTCTAATTAATATTTACCTGCTAGATACATGAAAACATAGACAAATATATTTCTGATCTGGCCCTGATTTTCCGCTCATTGTAGCCCTGATGTTGAACTGATTTGGCCCCGTTCTAGTCCTGGTTTGTTCTGAGTTTAACTCCACTTAGCTGGAACGTCCAGTTAAGTGTGAATTTTGAGGTGGTGTGTGCGTACCAGGAAACATGATTAGCATTTTCTTGGTATAATATGGAACAGGGCAATGCATTGCATGTCAGTGTAGAATTAACTATTTGACAATACACAAATTTAATTTCTTATCTTTACTTTGTAGATAAAAGAACAGACAAGTCTGCCGTCTCTGGGGCCATCCGACTGAAGATCAGTGTTGAAATGAAGGGAGAGGAGAACGTGGCTCCACCTCATGGCCAGTACACCTGTCTACATGAGGTAAGCATCATCATATGAAGCACCTCTTCACTCTAACGCCACGCCCAGTTACAGATGGACAGGGCCATAATCTTCACTTTGCAGGTGAAGGCCCATAGACAGAAACATCTCTTTCATTACTTGTTGTGACAGAGTGCTTCATCACCTCACCCACTCGCTCTTATCTCTCCCATGCCACTCACAGAACCTGTTCCACTACCTGACGGAGGTGAAGAACGGCGGCGTGGTGAAGATCCCCCAGGTGAAAGGGGACGAGGCGTGGAAGGTCTACTTTGACGACGTGTCCCAGGAGATAGTGGATGAGTTCGCCATGAGATACGGAGTGGAGTCCATCTATCAGGCTATGACGTTAGTACCACCCTGATCTATGGCCTTTTGCCTCACCCATATGTCACTGTCTCATTGGGCAGAGTGGAGGAGAAGGGAGGAGAGCAGAGAGCAGGAGGAGGCCTAGTAAAGATGTCTTCTCAGCAGATTCCCAGCTCGGAGGACTATTGAACTTCTCTTGAGTCTGATTGATTAATCACTGGTCCTGTGGAAAAACTTCTAACCTGCAATGGTCATATTGATCATGGATGGACATAAACACTTCTGCTTTGCCTTCCTCTCCGTCCGGTTGATCTTTCATGACCATTTGCTGCCATAAATATCTCAAGTCTCAGTTTCTTCTACATGTAATCCCATAAAGAGGATGAGATCAAATCACAGTACCCACTGTCTTAAGTGACCATATGGAAAGAAAATAATGTCACTGGAATAAGATATGTAGATAATTATAACTATGTTAAACACCAGAACCCACCCAGCATTTGTTCTATTATTTTTCATAATTCAAATATCTGTTAGGGTTTTTTCACATAAAAACATAAAATAAATACATAAAAACAATAACAACACAATATCTTTTACATTTACCCTGCACAACAGTTCCTTACGCACAACTGGTCTATTATTATCTCCAACCGAAATAATTAAAATGTAATAATTGCGGAAGTAATTTGAGACCTGTACTTTGCCATACTATTCCAATCAAACCAGGCTTCACTGAACAACTCTAAACAGCTCTTACCATTTGCTTTACGTTTTCACTGTAACATAGAAACAATAATTTAAAAATCTTCAGCCTTTGCAGCCTCTAATGTGATACTGTTTTTGACGACACAATGGAAATCTGTAACCAAGTGTGGTGACAGCCTCTACAGTGGTGTTCTACATTATTTCGTCACCTGCTAAAATTCTGCTACTGATTCGTTTTGAGTTGCTAGGTGACAGACTATTGTTTTAGCAAGAATGTGCATTGTGGCATATCGAAGGCAGACAGCTTCTTTAAGTACACATAAATGAAACAATGTCCTTATTACCAGCTTTCTATAATGCAGTTGCAGCTTCGGGCTTCAAGTCTAGTCTACTCTGTGTGTGTGTGTTTTTTTTTTCATATCAGCGCTTATTATGCCTCATCAGGAATTTATGAAAGCCTTTACCTTTTTGCTTTCTTCATCATCGAACCTACACTCCTAGTCACTCCTGCAATGATGGCTGCATAAATCATGGTACCTACAAACCCTTGCATTCTCAGTGGTGCCCTAACACACCCCTCCTTATTCGCATTTCATCTTGCCAGCTAGGCCACAAAATTATATGGGAGTTTAGGGCACAGTAGTTTTCTTGGGCTCATAAAAATAAAGACACGGCAACACCAGCACAACTGATGTCTCCCTCTTGAAAACTGACTCAGGAGATCGAGCTTTAAACGCACCAAGGGAATTTAGTGGATGCCATCGCCACTCTGCCCGCATCACTCGCTCGCCTAACCCCAAGTACTCCCGGGTAATTTGGTGGCTGAAAGCAGAGTAATTAAATAGGCCTCCTGATGAGCCGCATGTGGTGGTGTGTCTGTGTAAAATTGTGTGCTGGACCAGGAAGCATGGATAGGAGTAAAACTGCAATCATTACTCCCCCAAACTGCGCTGTCTTTAATACATTCACTTTATGTAGCGGAGAACACCTTATAATCACACTGCGTTTAGACCATAAAAGCTTGAAAGAAAAAAGTTTGCCTAGTCGTATAACTCAACTTGATAGATTAAAACATTTCCATCAATCTCTAATTCAATAAAAAATTTTTAAAAGAGCCCATGTTACTCTATTTTCTGATCTATGTTATAATGTTGGTTCCTCATCAAAACATACCTGGAGTTGTGTTTTGTTTTATTCACACATGTTTAACACGAAAAAGCTGCATATTTAAACTGAGTATTTCTTTCAGACATGTGTGAATGAAACAAAACACATGTCTTTGATGAGGCATTTATAATTATAACATGGTTTAATGCTCACAAGAGTTAATATAGGGCCTTTAAATATCCCACCCTTTTGCTTCTTTATGGTATTATTCATAATCTTTTCATCATGAAGCAAAATAATTTGAATCCCAAGTAATCCATCTTTCTACACTTTAAACTTTAAATCCACCCAGATTCCATTAGAGTGGGAGTCAAACAACTTACACCCCTTATAGATAGTGCAAATTTTTTATACATACAGAGGCAGAGAAAATAGATGAAAATGCTATTTAAATATATCCAGATGGAGATAGTGGCGGTTCTTGATGTGCGTCATAAATAATGATGTAAGTGGTATTATACACTGGTGTAAAATGTTAAATCAACATATGTTCTTTATTTCCACCTTCTAAACCAGATACCTTAGTTTATCAATTGCAATTATTGCTTCTGAACTTATGCATATTGTTAGGTGCTTTCGGTATGAATCCAAAAGAGTAAAATGTGCCTGTATTCCTGTGGTCCTTGTAATGCAATTATGAAGTATATTAGCCTTCTATAAAGCATTGAGGGTTCATAATTACAGTTGCTTGCTCTGCTTTCTGTAGCCTTATATCTCTCAAGCTATAGGTTAACCAGAGTTTATTTACTACTTGATAGCCTTGATTTATTGTTATTACATGAGTAAGCAGCAAGCAGTCAAGTACTTTTGCAGTAACTCTTCCAGCAGGAGTAATTGTTTGGAACATCAAAATATGTTCTCCTCTTCAGCAGTCTCTGTGGTTACAGTGAAAAAATACTGTACTGCAGTGTGCCGGCTAAACTTGTTTTCGCTGCAGGAATTTCCAGCTAAATATACTTTTCTATTTGCACTAGTTAACTTCTGGATACTGTCTTTTAAATGCTTGAGGGGTTTTGTTTATTTTGGTTTTATAGTGCTATTTGTTTATTTAAATGTTTGCCCATCTTATATATTGCACCATAAATGCTAACAGCTGCTTGTTTCATTCACAGGCATTTTTCCTGTCTTTCTGCCAAATACATGTGTCCCGGTGTGCCAGCAGTGATGAGCAACCTGCTTGCAAATATAAACGCCTACTTCGCCCACACCACCACCACAACCACGGCATCTGCTTCAGACAGATTTGCAGCCTCCAACTTCGGGGTAAGTGCACCGATTTATAGCTCTTGTGGAACTCAAAAGCAGTAGTATATAGTCCTGGGTCAAAATGTTACCTTCCTTGCTTTGACTTGTGATCCCCTGAAAGCCTTCAGACAAACAGAAAATATAGTTCACAAAGACCCAAAGCACACTTTGATGTTGAACTTTTACCACGTCTGTGCCCTTGAATGATTTAAAGAGGTGGATATATAACAGTGTTAAATTCTAACTCATAACTGTTTTAACGTTTTGTGCTACATGGGCTGCAAAGGAATAGGATGAGACATTTCCGACTAGAAGAGACAAAGCAACAAGATTTTTACATAATATAATTATTAAATTGTGCAGGTTCGATAAAGGTTTTGCCCTCACATTGTTTTATTTTTTTATATTATATTTTTTTGTCATTGTAAAACAGTAGTCATTTGAACTTCAAAACCATCAGAGCAAAATCTCAGAAGATACTTTTTCACATGTATGCACAATATCGTTGCAATTTCATCTTGTGAGATTTAATGTCACGAGATCTGGTCTCATGCCTAATGGTAAACATAATCAAATCGAAATTAATAACTGTAAGAGACTCTAGATCTAGATCATGTCGTGTCATCAGTACGTGGTCATGTTTTCCATTGGCTCACTTGACACAACATACCTTTTGTTAACAGAGAGAGAAGTTTGTCAAATTGCTGGACCAGCTACATAACTCTCTGAGGATCGACCTCTCCAAATATCGGGTAGGTGTGATGATTTATTAATGTTCTGTCACATGTTTTTCAATGTAGCACATAATTTATTCTGAGATTAATATGCCCTTTCCCTGCTGTTTATTATCATTTCATTATTAGAAACTGCATCTTAGCAACTGGTTCCTTGCTGCTCTGTCAGATTCAATTTAGAAACATGGTGTTCATGCCAATTTTTTTGGATTAATTGGCATGCAAATTGTGTTGCAGGTGAATATTTCAGGATATAAGGGTATAGATGAAAGTAAGCTTGCACTATGATGAGATACTAATTCTCTCATTTTTTTAGTGATTTAGAAACATTAATCTTTTAACATGACATCTGATATTACTAATGTGTTACCAATATAATCATTTCATATCTAAGAAAGTGGTTTCTATGGGTTAAGAAGGTTTGAAATAATCAATGACTGTGTCCAGCAGAGTGTACTATTGTGCAATCGGCTGAAAATATATTAGTTCAGGAACAATACTAAGTTTGATTTAAGGTATATAGTGCATATGAAAAAGAATTTATGATTATAATTTTTCAGATTTAGTTTTTCTTCGTTCACACTTTTGGTCCTGGTTTGAGGCCAAGTTAGTTCTACATGTAATTCTAATCCAGATTTTGTTTCAGGTTTAGTTCTTGTTTAGTCCCAGTTTTGATGTGGATATGTAGTTGAGATTGACCAGTGTTTTTTTTTCATGGCCAGTGCCGATAATGGTTGTTTAGAATCTAGAGAAGCCAATGGCTGATAGACCATGCCGATATTTTTGGGTCGTCACATAGTAGGTCATTATGATTATTTTCCTCAAATTATCTAATTTGAAAAAGAAAAAGGTGGCTTGCCCTCTCCGGGTGGGTGGAGAGTCCCTGTCTCAAGTGGAGGAGTTCAAGTATCTTGGGGTCTTGTTCACGAGTGAGGGGAGGACGGAACGTGAGATTGACAGGCGTATTGGTGCAGCTTCGGCAGTGATGCGGTCGCTGTATCGGACCATTGTGGTGAAGCAGGAGCTGAACCGAAAGGCGAAGCTCTCGATTTACCGGTCAGTCTTCGTTCCTATTCTCACCGATGGTCATGAGCTCTGGGTAATGACCGAAAGGACAAGATCGCGGATACAAGTGCTCGAAATGTGTTTCCTCCGCAGGGTGGCTGGGCGCTCCCTTAGAGATAGGGTGAGGAGCTCAGTCACACGGGAGGAGCTCGGAGTAGAGCCGCTGCTCCTCCACGTCGAGAGGAGCCAGTTGAGGTGGCTCGGGCATCTGTTCCGGATGCCTCCTGGGCACCTCCCTCGGGAGGTGTTCTGGGCATGTCCCACCGGGAAGAGGCACCGGGGAAGACCCAGGACACGCTGGAGGGGCTATGTCTCTCGGCTGGCCTGGGAACGCCTCGGGATTCCCCCGGAGGAGCTGGAGGACATGTCTGGGGTGAGGGAAGTTTGGGAGTCCCTGCTTAGGCTGCTGCCCCCGCGACCCGGCCCCGGATAAGCGGACGAAAATGGATGGATGGATGGATCTAATTTGAATTTACCACAAACTCACCCACAGCCCTTTTAGTCATATGTCATGCAGTTATTTCTTCATAAAGTGCTCAAGTCAAGCTTTATGAGTATGTTTAAGCAGCAAGTTTCAATGGGTTTGCAAATAAAGGATAAGATACTCTACAGCCAAACAGACATACTGTACAACTCAGAGCCATATAGTCAAAATATTTTACAATTTTAATGGACAGAACATTTACCCCAAAATCCTCATGATTTGGTCCACATTTGAATGCTGAATGTTTATCTTTCCTGTTCCCACACAGACCTAATACTGTGGCGTTTTCTTGTCTGCATGTTTAACAATGCTCTCTGGCAATGGCTGTGTAATGCTGTAATCCTCTCTCAAATCACCTCCACTTTCAAGCCTATTTGTAGAACCAGCTCATTTGCTTCATGGTGATTTATGGATGATTTTCTCTAGATGTTTGGGGATTGTAGACCTTTGTTCGTGGATTCAATTTTGCAGTACCTTGATAATAACTTCTGTTATCTGTAACAACTTTATAATGATGTTAATGCTGTTGAATTTAGCTACAAATGTAAACAGACAATGAATCACAATTGTAGTGTTCAATTATTAAATTATTTTGTATATAAATTACATAAGTTTGATTGCAGTCCAAATATTATTCTTTGTATGTTTTATAGTAATCAAATGGACCATACTAGTTTCTGCTTAGGGTTTAATTTTACATTTTATGCACCGTGTAAAAACTGCATCTCTTATTTTTGTCAGAGCTGTTTAACAAACACAGATTCGGGTATACCCCTGCTAGCGTCACTTGTCCCCTGCATGCTTTGCGCACTGAACACTCACTCAAAGATGACCCTGCTGCCTTAACGTAACACTACAGGCGATGTGTCAGTGAGGAGCTGATTGTGCGCCTTCACCTTGTTCTTCTCCGGTGCTCACTGTGCGAAGCCACATGTGATTACAAGAGACACCCCTGATAGGAGCAGATCCCGCTGTCTGTCTACAAAGGAAAAACAAGTGGGATCGAAGACCAGTGTGGTGATAACAATAGAGGCAGAAAGACCATGGACTTGAAGGGACTGGGAGTCACAGGCTGTGTGGAGAGGATGAAGAGGATTTAAAGGACAAGAGGGAGGTGGCAGGAGAGAAAGATTGGTATTAGGATAACAAAAGGAGAACTCGGGATTCCATTCTTTCAAAGTAATTGACAAATAACATTTGAATAGAGCTTATTACATGCAAACTAACATTTGTGCATAAGCTTAGAAAAAACAAACATCAAGTCACAATGATCACAATGGTCACATTTGTATATAGCACTTTTCAACCTTCAAGGAACTCAAAGAGCTTTCAAGGAACCACTCACCCACTGACACACACATTTGCATCAGTGTGTGCAGACACTGGGAGCGAAATGGGTTAAGTGTCTTGTCCAAGGACACAACGACAGCACTCATCTGTGGGAGTTGGAATCACACCAGCCAACCTGTGGGACAGTGAATCTGACTGCTCAACCAATTATGTTTATGTCGAGAGCAGGATTCCAGCCGCCAACCTTCGGATCAGTGGACAAATGATCTACCAACTGAATTACTGTAGTCCCATTTGCAGATTAGAATTAGTTGTTCATGTGAAAAAACCTGACAAAATACAGCAAAGAGATTTTTTCATCTTTTTCTTAGAAAAGCTTGTAAGGATATTTGCAAGCGCGTTAAGGATGCCCTATCAGGACTTGTAATAATGAAAGTAGTCAGCAGATAATGATCCGTGTCTGTGCACATTAATTACAGAATCAATGGGCTTTAGTCGAAACTTGGGAGTAACCATTGCTTTTCTCTTAATCTATATCCTTAACCACCGTCGTAGTCAAGTGCTGGGTACTGGGAAATGAACTTTATTCTGCATATGCTTCATTTACCTCCCCAACTGTTGAGGAGTAACTACAATATAGAAAGTTTTGCACCACAATTTTTAAGACCAAAAGTTGGAACAAGTTAACATTATTGGCTCTGGTACTTTTGCTATACAGTGTTGGGACACATTGACGTATATAGTTTATGTAAAGACACTTATACGCTTACTATTGTGTAATAGGAACACAACCCCTGTTGGAGCTGTCCATAAACTGTTGAGAACAGTTGGGCATAAAAGTCAATGTACAAGCAAGTACACACTCACCACTGCACAATAAGTGCAAATAGGTGGATATGCATACATATTTAAATATGGTTTTCTTCTTAGTCTTTGCACCAAGTACTTTGGGAAATCTCTGGCTAAATCATGCTTTATATTGCTGTGCAGTGATGAGGTGTCTGCTGAAAGCAGTCAGGGAAAATCTCATCGGCTTCACCTGCCAGCTCTGGCCTGCTGCTCTCTTGTCAAGCCTGCCACAGACCACTGCCTCTCATGCAAGCACACACACACAAGCACACAGCTACTCCCTCCTTCAGCATCTCCCTCTCATGGGCCGCTCTGCCACTATCGGATGGTAATAAGATTCTGATCTGGCCAGTGCAAGCGTCCACCGTATGGATTTTCCCATAATGACATTCGGATGGAAGATTGAGTTTGCTTTTGTAAAACACAGGCCCTGGATCAGCACTGAGAGATCTGCCATTTTGCATTTTGCCTCATATGCGTTTCTTCCAGTTAAACTTTACTCCAACAGGCTTTAGGCATGGTGACATCTTGCGTCACTCGCTTGTCTATGCTGTCTTTAGTGCAGATTGGGGCTTTAGACTTAAGACATTTATTGTTCCCAGTTTTATTGTAAGGTAATTTGTTTATTTACAGTGTTGATTTGGTGTTTGTAATTTCATGCAGCCTTTTTGCTTTTTTTTTTTTTTTGAGCCTTTGTGTCTTCTAATGTGTTGAGATGTATGAGCCATTGTACTTAGAAAGAGTTTTTCTTCCAGTAAGCACTCTTATTGCCTGGGTACTATTCTTCTTAAGGGCATGCACTTTCATAGTTTCCAGAAAAATCTTACCTCATGCAAACTAGTGCTCCCTCTCTTCCTATCCTGTACAATTTCATTTGTATACTTGTACACTATATGGTGTAAATAAAGATTTTCTTTTAATAATAATAATAAGATGTGTGAATTTTAAGCAGATAATCTTGTGTCTCCAAGGGATACAGCACTCATCTGTAATGCCTTGAAGGGCTTCTCCTTATTTCTTTGGGGAATTGTCACAAAGCTGCAGTTGTATGGGTGCAAGTTCCTGTGATAGTCTCTAAACCGCTTTAATCCTATGATAATCCTTTCAAATTTAAAACAGACAAAGCAAAAATAAAAGCTCAAGGGGTACGTATATCACCTGGAAGTCAAAGATCTGATGGCAAAGGTATATCTGTTTCAACAAAAAATAATGCACTACAATGCACAATATATTATTTCAAGTGAAAGTGAATATTTACCACAGCTAAAACGTTCAGAATAAGATACAAAGATAGTTACATCAAATTCCTTGCCTTCAAAAAGAATAGACTGCACCAGCATAAAAATTAGGCCCAAACGGCTAATCAGAATGCGATTGTGTTATCCCATCATTTAATGGAATTTATTGGAAGTAGTGCACACTGTGTGTTTTCCTACTTTTAGAGAGGCCTTGCTGTTTTAGTATGCTTCGTAGCCCCTGTGCTATAAATTTGTCTCTTAACTCTTTGTCTTTTAGTTTTTTGCTGTTTTTCAGGACAAAATCCTTAAAACTTTACTTTAGGTGAAGTTTTCTTCCCTTGTGACTGGGTAAAACAGATTCTGATTTAAACAGAAAAAAAGTTTATTTTACTAAAGATCCCCTCTCCTTTCCCACACACACTGCCCCTATGGGTCAAGCACAGTGATGTCTGCCATACAAGAAACAGCTCTTAAAGGGAGTATAAAGATTGTGAACTGTTGTGGCTGGCACTTCCAGTTGAGTAATGAGAATCACATTAATTTCAATTGACAACTTGAAATCTAACTAAGGTCGTTTTCACACCACTAGTTCGATTATTTGGTCCGCACCAGGCAATAAAATTGTTATTATGTAACAAATACACTCCAGTGTGGTCCGCGTTCACACCGGCAAACGAACCAAAACTGGTTCGATTCACGTGTCTGTTTCCCCGGTAAACAGCGATACCTCCAGTTATCAACACCGATGTTCCTGTTAATACCACGGGCCGTCCTCATCTTAAATTATCACCATGAACTCATAAAACAGCAACATGTAGAACTTTGGGCTGATGCGGTGAGTTTGTACAAAGTTCGGGTAACAGCAGCAGCCAACAGTGCTCACAGTAGCGCGCAGCTCCTCAGGACGGGGCTGGGGTCTGGTCCTTGGTCTTCTGTTACAAGCGCGTTGGTCAGATGGTCCGGAGGCTTCATCCTCCATGTGCTGCTTCCAAACAGTGGCGAGCAAGACCAGTGCTTGATGGACTTGATGGAGTCCGAGCGGGTACGTTCAGTCGTCTGCGCGCTGGTTCCGTGCGGGAAAAGCGAGAATGCGCTGTAGACTACAGGTCCGGGCGCGCTGCTCCTGTCCTCCGCGCTCAAGAACCGCGGCTGGTTCCGAGGTGGTGCAGCATCCGGACAGAAGCGTGAGTCCAGTTTGGTTTGTTATATGTTGTTCTGAGCGTCCGTCCTCCGCGCATTTGGTTCGCCCCGGGAAAGCGCTTCCTCAGGTCGAGGCTCCCCGCTCCAGCTCCTCTGAGCCCGGCCTGAACCGGAGCTGCCCCCGCTGGTTCGGGACTCTGGTTTGGATCTAGTCCGACTGTATTTCTCACACTAGGCTAAAAACAGGCACTTTTTTAAGTTGTATCAATTGAATGGGCGATTGCCTATTGCCATGAAATTATTTGGTTAATTAAAGCCTAAAATAACAAATGTTGGCCCCTTAATGACCCCTGTTTCAGAAAAATCCTAGAACCGCCACTGCAGCTGCAGTTGCAGTTGTGGACCAGTTTTGTTGCGGTGTGACGCGTGTTTTTTTTCCAAACCAAAAAAATTCGGAGCTCCACTGGCACTTCCGCTGGCACCACCAGACTGCATGGCGTGCAGGATAACCTTCTCTTATTACTTTTAATTACACAGAATACTTTTATGCAGAACTTAAATACTGAATGAAAGTGTTTCCCTTGTATAAATAATTTCAGGTATTAAATTTGGTTTTCTAATTGGCACTATTAACTCAATGTAAAAATAACCCTTCGTTCAGGAGGTAATTCTGAGCCAAAATAGATTCCAAGGACAATCATTGAAGTTATTATTAATTCCATCATGACCTGGAATTCCATGTAAAAGTAATGTAAAATTATTGACAACTTTGAGTGAAGATATTGCTTCAGTAACTTTTCTCATAAAAAAGTTGTTTGGTCAACTTCAAAGCCCTGCAATATGTTGTGCTTCATCTTGTTGTGAGCCTTAATCTGAGGAAAAGTCCTGTCTGTGATTGGGTTGTGGAGCCTGAAGGCTGCTGCTGGGATTTTTTTTTATTGTTTATTTACTTGAATCTCCTGTGTGCATTTATTGACAAGCCAAAGCAGGAACAGAAAGACAAGCAAAATTTTATTCCAGCATAGTGAGAGAGGGGAGTGGGCTGGTCCATGGGCCAGTGATGGCACGGCTCTGGGCTGTCAGGCTTTATATGCACTCGGTCACACTTCTGTGCACTGCCTGATGACTTCATGGCCCTGAAATAGGGGCTTTCATCAACAGAGACCTCCCCTGTCCACTAAACGATTAGACAGACACTCATTTCCTTATGATCGCTGCCCTTTGCTCTCTAATCAGTTTCAATATTTTGACTTATGGACTGAGATTTATTTATTTTTTGATGGTTGTACGATGCTATAGGGCGCGTGTTCTGACAGTTATTTCTTTCTCTTTTGTCTTCCCAGGACAACTTCCCAGCAGGAAACCCAGAGCGACTCCAAGATCTCAAGTCCACTGTTGATCTACTAACTAGCATCACATTTTTCAGAATGAAGGTAATGCAAACAGTATCTGAAATGTTGACCTTTGTAAATATCTCAGATAAAGTTTGACTTCTGACATTTATTGCAGCAGTGCTTTGCCCTTGCCAAAGTGACACAGAGCACTGGTCAAGGCCATGAAATCTGCTGCCATTCAATTAATAACATAAACCGTAATTGATTTTAGCCACATTTCATCTAGAGGAAATCAATCCTAACACATACTGCCTGAAAACCTTTCACTCTTTAGCCCCCAAAAAGATTTACTGTGTATTTTCCACCCTTTTCCAATAACAGAGTGAAGTAATGAAATACACTTATGTATATTGACTATTTTAGAGAATGCTTGTGCTTAAAAGGGTTACAGCTCCCTCTTGCAACAGTTTGTCTAGTTGTCTACTGCTATATGAAAAGCAGCTCTCCATTGGTGCGATTGGGGGTGCAGGGCCAAGGCTCTGAGGCATAGCTAAGATGGCAGCTGTGAGCTAAGGAAAGAAAACTGTCAGTTTATGTTAGCAAAGCCTTCAGTCTGTGCCTTGGTCATTCTCAGCCTTAACATGTATAAGCAGTGCAGTTAGTGTGCCACAATGTACGCATGGCACATCTGAAAGTCAATCTATGAGTCTGTCAGTCAGAATATCCATAATACAATTGAAAAGGTTGCACTTTACTAACAAGGTATGGATATTGTTGAACAACAAATTCACATTTTCAGCATTCTACATTTATGAGAGTCTGTGTAGAGTAAGGTTTGAGCTGTACAGAAACGCAAAAGAACAAGTTCTGAATTTTAGACAAAAAAGACACTTGTCAACTCCATCAGACACACAGAAACACATAAAATGTAATTTATTGTAATCTAATTAAAATGTTAACTATTTACCATTGTGTCCAATTAAGGTTTGCCTGAAAATTTTAATTGTCATTTTACACTTGATGTTCAATTAAGTTTCAAAATATCTTTCAAAATATTCTATTACTTATAAAATACATTACTGTAAATAATTAACATAAATTAGGCTGTATATTTCCACATAAACTGAATTGCAATAGTCAAGAAAAAAAACTCTACGTTTTACACTAACCATATTTCACAAAACTGAATTTTTTAACTTCGAACTACCAAACTATGAGATAACCCTCGACTCCCTGTCTCTCAGTGTGCATTGCCCTCTTCTTCCTCGCTAGTGCTCCTCCAGTGTTTCTTTCTCCTTTCTTTCCCTCTCCTCTTCCCCTCCATGAGGTTTTATTCTGGTATTAGTGATATTACATGTTTTACATGTATTAGACCCCCAAGTGCTAGTGTCACAACATGATTGGTCTATAAAAAATGTTTTTTGTGAAGAAAACTGTGAATTAACAATGCTTGGTTTGTCAATTCCATTAGCCTAAAATGTCAACTCCATCACAAATTCAACTTGATGTTATAAAATATGTTATTTATGCTAATTCATATATATTATGTGATATAATAACTTAAATTGTAAAATGGCAATTTAACAAATTTCTGAGGTCACAAATAATATTTTATTAGCACATTTAGAGACTACAGGTACCTTTATCAATTCCGTCAGCAACGCATTAGCTCCATCAGAAATGAAATATGATGGAGTTGACAAAATGCAATTTTTTCCGTTATAAAACATAGATTATACTGAAATACACTATGTGTCATACTGGACTGACGGAGTTGACGCTGTGCAGCTGTGACAGCAGAAATTTCAACACTGTTAATCTTGAATATCAAAAAGTGTAAAAGTTACTAGACTGTGTGGTAGTGCTACGTTCAATAGAGTAAGGGTAACAAATAGAGGCTTCAGAGATGTAGATAATAATATTTCTTCCAGATTTTTGAAAATGGCTGACCGAGTTGACAAAAAGATGAAATATTTTCACACATTTACCTTATTACATTTACACATTTAAATTTTTTCAATATTAAATGCTTTTTGACCAGCTAAACATTCTGAACCCTGGTGGAGAGCACAAAAAATTACATTAACTTCAACATCTTCATTTACATTTGTTAAAGTTGTTCAAAAACATCATAAATATTTACTAATAAATAGCTCCTGTATACAAACATCCTTTAGATTGAACTGTACAGTTATTCCAATTATGAGATTTTGGTAAGATTTTCTACAAATACTTTTATATCAGTCACAGTCCCAATCCCAACACTAACACCAAATATATATTTTATCCCTGGTGTCCATCTCTGATGCTCCAAAACACATAAAAACTGTTGTTTGTCAAAACTGACCAATTGATTGTATCACACATCAATATGACATAATGTTAATTTGCTACATATAAACTAATGCAGCCCCTAGCATGATGAAAATAATCTGTGTTAAGAACTAAACATATCTGTGGCCACAATGTTGTGCTTGGTTGACCTTATTGACCTGGTTGATGTTAGTCTCACTGCATTGACTTGAGAAGCCTTGAAAACCCAATAAAACTGAATCTTGTATGTGTTTATGCAGGTACAAGAGCTACAAAGTCCACCAAGAGCGAGCATGGTTGTGAAGGACTGTGTCAAAGCTTGCCTGGATTCAACCTACAAATATATTTTTGATAACTGTCACGAACTATATAACCAGCTGCTGGACCAGGTAAACCACTTTACCAGTTCTTTCTGTTCTTACTCACCTCAAGCCTTTCAGCTCATTTCATGTCAGCTTTATCCTCTTTGTACTTGACATGAAGAAAAGCACTTAGCCTAAAAGCTTTATGGCTTATGTCATGCAGAATGACCCTTTCGCTTGAAATTGACTGTTCCACTTCTCAAGACTTTGATGTGTAGTCAAGTAAAGGAGAGAGTTTTCTTCTACCGGCTGCTTTAGATTAGAAGAAGAATAAACTGTTGCAGCTCTACAGTAAATGAAGAGATGTTGGCCTCACTTAGTGAAATCAAGTGGTATCCCTAGAGTTTGGATATTTATAGTGTATGATGGAAGTGGTGTACTTGAGCAGGTTTAGAACTAATTTCCCAATATGGGTGTATCATATCAAGTAATGCATTTATTGTAACACAAGCCACTTAATTATTTGTAATTGTCCCTTGTGTACATTAAGTTTGTTCTAAAACATAGCTCATGTTCATGAACTTGAATTTTGATGAAAGCCCAGTGCTAGTCATTAGTCATTAGTGCTACTATTTATTAGATTTTATTACATTTCTTCATTTTGTCACGTCTTTCTCCTGCATCACCTTCAAGTGTGTCATAAAGCTGACATGATGGTTGCCCTTTCAGTTTTAGTGTGTTCTCTATATATGTGTGCAACAATGCTGGGAATATATAAATCCAGTGTGGTGTGGCTAGAAATCAATAGGCTATATATTGTGGGTGACATTTACTGGGCAGTAACAATTTACACTGTGTCTATTGGGAAGTTTGCATGGGGGTATTCCCGGTGGCCATACCACAAGCTGCACTTTTGTGGAAGAGGTTGAGACAGTCACGCTATAATGAATTGTTTTGTGGAGGTTATTATGATAACACAGATTCTAATGTGATTCTACATTCTGCTTACAAAAAGTTGTACATCTAACATACACCATACATAAACATAACATAAACATACACTGTATGCCTCAATAAAATAAATGTCAAGTAAAATGTAAAACTAATTGGTGTTTTCAGAGGCTAGAGCAGGATGATGTCATATACCCAGGTGGAGCCAGGAACAACATCCACATTACCTTACTGATAACCAAAAGTAAAATTCGCAATTTTATAATTTTATTTATGTCACGATGTCATCTAAAACCCCACAGTAGGTCTGACCACCTCTGGTTGCTTTATTAAAATATTAGAAAGAGGATATAGTTTATTTCATTTTGATAATTACATTTTTATTTCTGTCTTTTATTGTTTTAATACCTCACTCCTGACACATTACCGTAGTTTAATTGAAGTGCTGTAATTTTGTTTGAAAACAGGTGTAGAAAATATTTTATTTTATGGCAAATGATTATCCCGTATGATTTGCCATAAAAGTGCTGTAATTTTGCTCAAGTTAATGTTTTGATATGCTTTGTATCTCACCTGAGTAAACCATTGCTACCAACAGGCAACTCTGCCTGATTATTTTACGCTTTCTTACCCAAAGAAAATGGTCTTCATGCTACAGAAGATAATGTTGTTTTTTTTTAGGTTATAATAGGGTGCAATCTACTCAAATGTTGAATTATAGGCTTGCTTTGTCTAAATAGCCTAAGGAGGTTGTAAGCAATTACCAAGGCCTTGAGATAGACACATGCACTAATTATACCATCATCTAATGCACTTTCCCTCACATCGATGCTTTCGCACAAGGACACAAACTGTACCCTATTGTGATTAGAATAGATCTTTTTCACATATACTGACAAGCTCAAGAGTCAGCATATGTGGTCTATGAGGTAGCTGTTAACAGTGAGTGAACAAGGATGACACACCATGGTCAAACAGCCGGTGAAATATTGTGTTGCAGCCTAACACAACAACAAAGTCTGTGCTTTTGGCTTCATTGGGAAATAGCTGTGGGAGATGCAAGAGGATAAGGTATAATTTCTTAAATCTTGGTAGAAAATAAAGGGATTTGAAAGATGTTGGAAGGGAGAAATATATAGAGTTAAAACACTGATGCACTGTCAGTATGGTGTATGTATGATGTCTAATGTGCACACCTATTTTCATTCAGCATTGTTCAAGCAAGTATGCATTTAAAACTCTATGATTTGTTATTCAAATTGAGATTAAGGGCTCTTTTGCTTAAAAAATACTGTGTTTGAATGTGTATGGATATACAGGTGTATTGAATTGGAAGAAATTACCTGGATTGTGCAGTATGCAGTCTACACACTGCTCGACTCAAGCGCTATATTTCTAGATTATCCTCTCTCTCTGAGAGATTGGAAAATTTCTCTACATAGAATAGAATATATAAAAGGATAAAAGGGGGTATCACAAGCACATCACATCATCCTCTGCCTCTGCATAGTCCTCTTTATTTTGTGCAGAAATCTGTACCTATGATTGGTGGCCTGTCTTCTTTGTCCCGCCCCGGTTGGCTCCTGTTTCCCGTTGTGCACTGATTGGTCTGGCCTCCTAAGCCCCAAACAATTGCTCACATCCACCTGCAGCTAGTAAAATCAATGCCCTCCTGCCAGTCTAAGCAGGCGGGACCGTATGTGAAAGTCCTGCCACTGTTACTCTCTGCCTGCTAATCACTTGTTTAGCCTTAGTTCTCTGACTGCGTGTTTCTGACCCTAGTAACTCATTTAGCATGTGTTTTGGGTACATGTTGCACTGTTCTTACTGAACACAGTTCTTAACAGTAGCAGTTACACTTTAATTTAATTATTTTCAATTACTTTCTTTTGTTCTAGCAACAACCAGCATGCTAGCATGCACTTAAAGGCTTTATTATTACACACAGTCAGCAGGCAGCAGACATATTTTGACCTCAAGAGCTGCTTAGACAATATATCTTACTGGGGCAATTTCACTCAGTTTCATTTCAGACATAATTTGTCTAAGTCTGCCGGAGGCCTTCACAATCCGTTTTGCAGGCCCCCGAGCACAAAATAAATGTCGATGAAACTGTTGCTTCAACCAATCAGATTTTGAGTTGGTATCACCAGGGCCTTCTAGCAGGTGTACAGCAATGTCACCGTATTCAGACACGTTGATTGGATAGTCAGAGAGGGAACCAGCCAAAGATAGCAAACTGCATCAGTAGCGGAACCAGGTCTGAACCAGGACCACGCTAGGTCTACACCAGGTCTATACCAGGTCTAAATCAGGACTAAATCAGAACTAATCTTGGAGAGCGAGAGCCAACGAGAGAGAGAGAGAGAACCCCAAGCCTGCAGAGCAGGGTGTCTGCAAAACGAGATCGGGTGACAGCTGCGCAGAGCCCAGCTCTGCGCTGGTGCTTTTGCCTGCGGTCAGTATGACAGTATACGAGGGCGCACCTCCGGGCCCGTCTCGATGCTCAGACCTGGTTTAGTTCTGGTGTAGTCCTGGTTTAGACATGTTTTGGTCCTTGTTCGGTTCTGGTTTAGGCCTGGTCCCTCATGTCGCAGGTCAGTATAGGACAGTACTGGAGATATCAGTGTTTCCTGCAGCACTTTATAGTTAAAGCGGCCGCCTTGACAACAAGTGGCCCCCGCCTTGACTAGGTCCTTCCTAACCACATGAATCCTCGCAAAACTACGGTAGTCGCACAGAATCTGCTTGCCCACTCCCCCCAACCCCCCACCCCCACTCCTCACCTCACTTCTCTGTGCACCACGCACCTCCCTCTCTTCACTTCTTCTCCATGCACCACACACCCCCCTCTCCTCACTTCTTTTCCATGCACCACACACCCCCCTCTCCTCACTTCTTTTCCATGCACGGAATCTCTGCGCACCTCCACTCCTCACTTCTTCGTGCATGGAATCTCCACAGCTCTTTGTACTGTATTTCTGTATACTAACATGGCTTTTATAACCATAAAATAGTTATTGAGGAGTGGATTGTTTCACACGGAGTACTACTGAAGGCCTAGGTGTGAAATGCATGGTCCGCCACTGATACAGAGCATTTAATTTTAGCTACACTGTTGAGGATGTAACTACCTTTATTTTGAAGATGCTCCCACACCACCACGCTACAATCAGATGAATGGGTTCTTGATATATTTGGGGATTTCTTTAGCAGATTAGTTATCAGATTTACACTTGGTGGCTTTGTTGACTGCATGTAGTTATATTACCCTTTCTCATTCCCTTAAGTAGTTAAGATATTGGATATACCAAACAACCACTACTAACTGCAACCCTGGAGGAGTCATATTTTACAGAATTAGTGCCCACACCACCTTGTGCACAGCAAGCACCCATACTGTAGAGTGCTCTTTATTTAGGATGAGGAGCACATCCTATTGAGAGCAAAGCCCATGAGTGTGTTGTTGACTGTAAAAGGATGCCAGACTACTTAATCACCTTTAACAATGTGTTTGTTCAGGCTTGAGGGGAATACAAATGAGCACAGGGAGTCAGCATTAGCTTTTATTGCTAGTACAGCATCCATGTCAGTAGGCAAGACACAACCTTCTCTGTCCTACTGTATCTCAGCCAGCCACTGCATATGCAAATAAGAATCGCCCTCTCTTTAGATCAGTAGAATAGCACACACTAATCTTTGCCATGAACCCTGGTTTAATGATTAGAGGAATGGAGCACAGGGTTGTATGATCAGCTGTCAGCTCCAAAGCCTGGTAATCTTGTTCCCTTGTGATTAAATTCTGTTCTCCAGGCGACATAAAGTCTGATCACATGAATACAGTGCACCGCAGACAATTAAATAAGATCTAGATCATTTAGAGAATAGGTATATTGGTATGAAAGCATTAGTAAACTGTGGACTTCTGTCTCCCAATTGTCAACTTTTTTTTGTCAACTCTAAGGTTTTGTCTAATTGGTTTAGCCAGTACTATTTGAGGCATAATACTTAATGATTGGTTCTATTAGAATATATTGTATTTGTGTTTCTGTTTTTCAGTTTGTTTTTTTATTTGCTTCACACAAATATACATTGGCTTGTTATCTCCCAGTGAAGATTGTGGCCCCAATAGAATTACCCATTCAGTATCTGCATCCTTCTAATGCAGTGGAAGTAGCCCTCTCTTGAGAGTCTACTCTCAAACTAGACTTTTGTGAATGCTATTTGATGTTGTCATTGTTTTTCTATCTAATGATACAGATCTGTTAGTGCAGCTGATCCCTGCAAAGCCTTGTGTTGTACTGAAGAACATGCTGGTAGAGAATGGATTGCAGAGACAGACACTTGCTGACAGGAGAAGGATTGTCTTGTGTGGAGAGCACTAATGCTACAGTCAGACAGTGCTTTTAATTTACAGTGTCTTGTTCCATGGGATGTCAGCGAGGTTCCCATTGTACAGTGACACACAAAAGAGATATCCCAGCTGTTTTGAAACCAAATAGATCTGTATCGCATTGTTTTGTGCAGCCGTGGGTATCAAGTGTGATACTCGATAGCACACTAGCTCAAACAGCTAATAGAAATGTATATTATTTGCATAAATCTATTAAAATGTAAATGTTATGCTTTGTGTGCACTCACACAGCCAAATTACAGTGTGACTGGTTTGCTGTGTTTTCTCCCAAATTACTAAAGCTACTGCTACTGAATCATTAAATAAAGTAGTTTATGCTTTGGAGCTTTTGAACATTTTTCACTATTCATTATTTCACTTCTTTGTTTTAGACATTTGGTTGTAGTATTTTATTTCCTGTGCATTTACATAGCCACTTTCCACCATTGAAAGCTAAAAGTACTGACTAATTTTAACCCCCAATGGATGGAATGTGGAAGTGAAGTTTTACCTGTAAGCACTGTGTTCTGCTTTTAGTCTCTAGAGAAGCTTCAGCATCCCTCAAATGTTTGCTTTTGTGTGGGCCATTTTGAATTAATTCTGTATCCTACTAAAAAGTAATTCTTCAACTGATTGTATTACCAGGATATTCTGTATGGTGCATTCAGTGTAGTTTTTTTATTATTATTGTTTGTTTGTTGTTGTTGTTTTTACCTTGGTTGAGTTCCTGACTGTGCAATCTCTATTTTTCCCACTGTAGAGCCGGAAGCAGGATATTCCCCGTGAGGAGCAGGGACCATCAATCAAGAACCTAGACTTCTGGCCCAAACTGATCACCCTCATGGTATCTGTGATCGATGAGGACCGCACTGCATACACCCCCGTCATTAACCAGTAAGTTCTTCCTCACGTTTCTTTAAAAAAGTGTGCATATAATTGGAAATACAGTTGTATGTCTTTATCAGTTTGATGGTTTATTGATCAAATAAACCATAAGAAAGAGTTTGTTTCCAGTTGGTGAGATTGGTTTCTTTTTTTCAGTTCATAGTTGTAATTTTCAGTGCATTTTTCTTTTATTACAATCACATTGTAGTTATTGTGGGAAATAAAAGGTACCGGTATAGTGTTTTCCAGTACAAAATGGAATTGTTGCTGCATATGGCTTAGGTCATTTGGTACATATAATCAAAATCAAATTATATGACATGAATAAAAGTGGCTGCAAATAAAAGCAAGATGCATTTTCTTGTTTCTGTATCACTCACAAACTAGCATTAGCGTTCTCGTCTCTTGTCTCCCTCCTCTTGCTGATTTACGATGCTTATTAAGGCTCTGTTTATGCCGAGAGCTCCCTCCTCCACTGTCTAATGATAGATTTGCAATATTCATGCCCATTTCCAACGCATTCCCTTGGTCAGGTTTGAGAATCACAAAAACTATTCCTGTTATTCTCTTTATAAAATCTGCATCCATTCCCTTTGAATTGCAGTGAAGCCTGAGGATAAAAGGTTAATCTGTTTGGCAAATAACAATATAGATACCACTTTTTTTTTTCCTGTATAAACATCAACACTTATGTGTGTTTTAAAGCCTTAAGTTGCTTTGGAGATTATACACAGAAATAGTTGTCAAACAAAGATGCCACTACATACTGTCTTCATCTAAATAGTATGCATTTTATCAATTTATTGCAAGCTTATCTTTCTATTTTATTACTTATCTTTTTATTTTTATGTTACTTGTACATTTACATTTATATAATTAAGTCTTATTTGATACCTGTCACTTACCATCTTTTTTGCTACTTATTTAGAATTTATTTTGCCATTTATATTTTTGCTCTTTGTTACTATATTATATTGTGATGTGTGCGCTACTTTGTCCAATTAATTTCCCTTGTGGATCAATAAAGTTTGTCTAAGTCTAAGTCTAAATCTAAACTTGAAAAAAAGAGCCAAGTGCATCATTACAATTACCTTTGGAATGAGAGCTTCTCTAAAGCAAGGTTTGTGAAAGCTAGCAACATCTTTATACTTGAAAGTTTACATCTACCTTAGTTTAGTTTACCACAGTGGCTGCTGACTTCATGCAACAATTCGTAGGCAAAAGTCCATTGTCATTTTCCCTTAACCTGCATTAACAGTCTCAAGGGAATATATTGGTTTATTGCTTGTATGGTTCATAGAAGAATAGAGAGATAACCTTTCAAGTGCAAGATGTAGCACTAAGCCCTTGTTTCTGTTGCACATCAGAGTACTGCCGAGGCGAGTAGGTGAGAATATCTGAGACTGCCAATAACATACTTTATATCTCCCAATGGAGTAGACAGAACAGTCAGACAAAGACATTTGCTGTTTGAAACAAGGCGGTCTCTGGCCAAAAACAAAACATTTCCAGATAAATTGACCTCTATGTGGCCAAACCCCTGTCATTTATAAAAGTCCTCCCATTACTGTCTGTAGGTACGTATAATTAAACCACTGACACCGCACGCTCAAGCTTTGACTGAAAATCTATAGTCATTCAAAATAGCAGATTACTTGCCAAATAGGTGCCCACCCTCTTACTCTCCTTAGCGGTGTGATTTTCCTTTACATTGTAGTTCATGCAGTGTCTTCCAGTCATCTGTGTTGCAATATGTAAAAGTTTAGTATGTGCCAAGCCATTCCCACAGTCGGTCAAGTGTGTCATTGTGTGGAAATGAGACTGATTGAAACCATTTTCGCTCCCTCTAGGTTTCCACAGGAGCTGAACGTGGGCAAGATCAGCTCTGAAATCACGTGGAACCTCTTTGCCTTGGACATGAAGTATGCTATGGAAGGTCAGTGACTTTGCTGACCAGGCATTAATCCTGGTTTATCCATGCCATGTTGTAAGTGTGTTTCAGAGACCACTAATGTGTGAAAATTAAAGTAAATAAAAATCTCATATATGTGCTCCACTGCCTGAGCCACAGATGCTCCATTTAAATGTGGGTTTGACTCCCCACCCCCATGGTCTTTGGTTCAGTTCTCTAAAGGCATTAAATGCCTCTCTGAGTTTACTGAACTAGCTGTTTTGAGGAATGGGGGTTAAGGATTATGCTCCATCCAGATTATGTATACAATGTGGGCAAATGTACACACAAGTACAAATTGTGTATTTGTGTTTGCCCCTTATAAATATAAAGGAGAGAATTTTGATGCTTCAGTGAGGTCTCCTATGGTGGAGGACAGTGCAGTTTCCTTTAGCAGGGTGTGATATAGGGGTCCTAATGATGACAGAAGAGCTAGACATCCTGTAGGTCAGAGGTTTACATGCTGTGTGCAAAAGGAAATGTATCAGGCACCATAGCATCTTATTGGTGATCTATCCTCATTTAAACTGCATATTATATACCTGCTGCTATCTCTGGAAAAAAGTCATACTGGGTTTCTATAGCAACCAGGTGTGATCAAGACACCCCAGTGTAGAGCACTACATCTGCATCCTATCCTGTAGAAATTCACTAGAGCCTATGAAGTGTACTGGACGATTGGACACTAATTATATAAATTCAACTTTTGCATCAGAAAACACATTCTGTTATTGTTTGTGCAAAATATATATTTTTCTGTCCAAGGTTTTTGTCCTACAGAAAAAGAAAGAGCTAAATAAAAGACATTTTGCACTTTATGAAGGCATGTGTGTCCATGTGACCACCTTTGGTGTTAGTGGCTACTGTGACAGCAGGTCTGCGCTGTAGTGCACAGTACATTTGTGTGTACATGTGATGTGCCTGAGGATGTCTGTGTAACAAAAGGAGATGCACTGGCTCACATACTTCTCCACACTGCAGCCTCCTCTGGCCTCAAGTGTCGAGAGAAAGTACAAGTGAAAGCCCCAATGCCAGGAGCGGGATGAGACAGTGACTTTACTCAAAGGAGCTCCCTGTAATGAAGTAGTGCTCTTTTTATATCTCTTTTCTAATTTAGTGCAGCTTTATCTTTATACATTCAGATACACATAATCCAACACAAAAATGCTTGACAAGATTCCACCATACTATCAGCAGTAACCACAATCAATTGAAGAATTAAAGGCTCTACTCTTTGTTATATTTGGTTTTTGAGATTACAGTGAGCCTGTCTCCTTATGTGTACAGAGTAAGATGACATAGATACTGTACAGTTTATGTATAAGAGTATGGTCTGAATTTGAATTCAGGGTTGCCGGCTTCAGTGTCTGATTTAAAGGAATACAAGTGACCTGTTACATAAGCGGAGCCACAGTGGGATGTTTGACAGACGCCCTGAAGGAGGCGCCAGCATCGTCCCACTTTGTTGCAGTGTTTTGTTTATGTGTAGCTCTGTGTGCTGTGTTCGAGCATGGGCAGGGCTTCTGTGTGGCACGATACATGTAAAGAATGAATGGAAATAAAAGGGGTGTGTGTGCGTGTGCGTGGTTGTGTGCATGTGCGGTTACGTGTGCAGTCGCCTTACTTAATGAAGTCTTTGATGCATCCTCTGCTTCCTGCTTGAAGGCCTTTGGTGCCAATGCTGGTGCAGAAATGGATGCTGCTAATTTTAGCCTCTGTGTGTATGTGTGTGTGAGATGTGGAACAGGAGAAGCTAAACAGGAAAATGTGTGAGAAGATGAGAGAGTGAATGAATGACAAAGTGGCATTAACACTCTCTTTTTATTCTACCATTACCTTTCTCAAACAGGGCATACAGTAGCTGAAACTGATGCAAGTGCTCCTTTGATGGAAAATGTGAATACGCAACAATAAATGCACAGCTTGACAAGATGAAAAACTGTGCTTCTACTTTTAGCATTGCAATGAAGTCCTATACTGTGTTTATTCACTATAGGCTGTTTAATGGCTGTGGCCTCTGGAGCATGTCATTAAAGATCCAATGCTCAGGCAGCCCATTACTTCACCTCCACTCTGCTGGAACAGCCTCACTGTACAGAATTCTATAATTGAATTTCAATTAATATTCTTTCGTGATGTGTGGCGTTTGTTTGCTCTAAGAGATGTTGTATATGGGGCAGATACGTGTGATTCTAATGATCATTCCTTTCTCTTATAGAACATGATAAATTAAATCTGAAGTCAAAAGGTTTGCAATAAATTTTTATCTCTGAGAAAAGGGTGCCGAGTTTTAATTACATCTCTTTGTTTTAGAGTTACACTTTTTATTTGCTTGAAAGTTGACATCTAATTACTCATGACCCTTGGCTTCCGTACTTCTAAATATTGAGCTGTACATTGTGATGAGAGGATTAATTTAATGAACAACAATAGATAACTCATTAGTTAGTCATGACACTGACCATGTCCCATAGCATTAAGCATTTCAGTTGCATCAAGTGGACTTAGTGTTTCTCTGGGCTCTGGTGTTATAGTGGGGTGTGTCATTGGGACCTTGTGAAGCAGCTTAAGAACTACCCTTTGACAGAACTGGGTCAGAAGCCAAGATGGAGGAATTGTGTCACTAAGGAAAAAATATCTTGTCTGCCATGTTGGTCCTTTGGCCTTTAGTCTTGGGGAAATCAGTCTAACCACACAAGCTTGTATAGATATTTCCTCTAGATGGTAATTGGAGATTGGGAAGGAAGGAGTGTGGTGAAGAATCATAGTTCATCATCGTTCACGTAGCATTTAAATCAATGAAGCAGAGTGAGTGAGTCTCCCATGAGTTTTTCTGCCCCTGTGGGCTTAGTTATACAAGATGACATCCTCACCAGGGACTTTGAGCTTGTTTCTCCCTCAAGACAGCTGTTTACCACCAGCATAAGCACTAATGCATGCTTATGAGTACAGTATCTGTAGAAGACCTACCCAAGTGTGCATATTGTATTGGCTGCAACATTTTAGCATGTTTCTGACATGGCATTTAGCAGCAAAATAGTTTGTCCACTTGTAAAATGTCTATGGCATTATTCCTGCTAGACTATGACCCATGGAAGAATTACAGTACCATAACTGAAACCTCTTTTTGAATTAAGGAACTCAAAGCATGAATTAAATCGCTTTTCTACTGCATCCCTTAATATCAATATTGGCAACCCTGAGTATTTCATATTTGTCCTATCCCTAAATCACACTTGAGACTGCTATATGATAATTATGGACACAAGGTTTGATCTGAGGGAGACTCTGTTAATGAGACAGTCATGATTGCTGACAGATGACCACTGTTTAGAGACCATAAGTCATGAGATCTGCTTAAGCTTAGGCTCAAGAAGACAGGAGGACATAAGATCGATGGAAACCTTTGCTAGTGACAGACAGGCCACTCAGTCTTTTTAGAGGACAGTGTCCTTCTTTGGTATTTGTTTAAATAGTTTAAATAGAGCATCTTAGTAGAATTGTGGTCATTTGGATGGATCTGACAAAACATGATTAATGATCCTCACAGAGACACAATTGACAACAGCTAAAGCAAGCTGAAAAAAAAACAACAGTTGCACTTCTTAATAAGTTTAATTCAGTTACATTTTGCTACATCAAACTCCAAGTGTAATTACAATCCAGTATCCCAATAAGTCAATATGCTTACCACACATATTAAAGCCAGTGGAAAATCAATTATATTCTGTGCAATCAGATGTTTTAAAGACTGAGTCATAAAGCTGGGAACTCATTTTATTACAGTTCTTGTTTGTCACAATGGAGTATAAAGAAGGTGCAATTCTACCCCCCCGTACATAGATTGTTGTTTAGCTGTGAATGAGTTTCGACATGGTTCAGCCTCTAGGGGCACCATCCCTGCTGCACGGCTCATTGAATTGAGCTATAGAGAGAGGGCATTATTCAAGAGCATTGATCGGTCTGAATGTTTAGGTGTAGGCAGCTTGTACATAAGAGATCAGCGTAACCATGGTGATTTGAGAGCAGGCTAGCATTGTGACACTGTAAAAGGGTTAAACTTGAATTCAGCAAGATAATCTTTTAATCCCTGAGCATTGGATTGACAATTTCACTGAGCTGGATGAGACAAACAGACAATCAATGCATTTGTGGGGATATTCTTTCAATTTTCACTTGGTTATTTTCTTAGTTTGATAAGTGATATTTATATGTCATCTTTATGTAACTTTTTTGTTTACTGTCAATGTAACTGCTATGTAAAATGCCTATAGGATGAAAATATTTTCATTCTGAGATGCAAGCAAGAACAATTGGAGAATTTGCTGAATCCAAGAGCTTTCTGAATAACTCCTTTTATAAATTGTGTTTTATAATAAACACAAATAAACGCAACAATAAAGAGAAGAGTAGTGACGTACTTTAGAAATTTCTTTTATTTAGGTTAGTAAAGCATGCAAAGCGTCTTTTTTCTGAAATAAACAAATGACTCATTCTGATGTCAAACCTTATCCTTGCATTTCATTGGAGTGTAATAATTGTGTGTATCTCAGTTCTAGCAGTGTATATTTAAACCATCTAATTGGAGCTACAGAGTGGATGTAGGCTATTTTGTTCACATTTCAAACCAAACTAAAAACTCCTGATCTTACAATATCATCCAGCATTTAATCATGTATTTTTTTATATTAGTGAATTAAGTTTTAGGTCTTGTTTTTTTAAAATGTTTTAAAAAGCCAATATGATTTTACGCACATACATTTCCTAATAATACTTCTCTACTAACAACCAAACTTTCCTTGAGGTAACCTTACATTCACAGGGAGGAAAGCCCCCTCCATGTGAAGTAGCAGTCTAGCAGAACAGGCCTGTCCCACTAACACCTGCTGAGATGTCCTTTTCCGTCTCCACTCTGACCTCCATCTGCTGTCTTCTGTTGATTCTAGTGTAACTGTGTGACTATGTGTGCTCTGTTTATACAGTATACTGCCAGCTCAGTCCTTTATGACTCAAGACCCAGAGACTGTCTTCACCAATTACTCACATGGACCAAAACTATACACTGCTTGTTTTACTGTACCTTACTTCTTGCAGTCATTACAAGCTAACTGGGGGATAGATGTCTAAAATATTTGCCTGGGTGACAGTAACAGTTGACTGGAGTGTTTGTCCATTGATCCGAAGGGTGGTGGTTCAATTCATAAACATCATAGGTAGAGTGGTCCACTGACCCACAGGTTGGCAGTGTGATTCCAGCTCCCACAGATAAATACTGTCATCGTGTCCTTGTGCAAGACACTTAACCCACCTCACAGCCATTATCTGTGTACACTGGTGTGCGTATGTTTGAATAGTTTCCTGATGTAAAGCGCATTGAGTGAAGGTGGAAACTGTGAAAATGTACAATAATGGGGCAAGCATATGGTTTCTGTTCTGTATCTTTTACATAAAGCATTACTTTAGACTTAAATTAATGCTTCAGCAAAGAAAGATTACAACAATGTATGTAGTTTGAAAGGAAGTTATTGTCATTAAAATGTTAATTGTTTTCAGTTAACAGTAAATAATTCAACAGATGACATATTACATTACAACATTGAGTGTGTGCCAGTAAGCATTATTTCTATAGTCCGGTGATAATTTAAACTTAATCAGAGTTAGAAGCACATGATTGCTTTTTACAGTTCAATATTATGGAGCCTAATTGCACATTAGAACCATTTTCCCTCAGTGCTCACTTTAGAATAAAAGGCACTAGAATTGCAGTAAGCACCCAGGTTCTTATCGTACTAAGTCCCGACGGCTCAGTGCTGTGTGGAGTGGATTAAAAACTCTTTGATGTTGTATGGAATCTCGTACAGAGGAAATGTGTGTATACATTTTTCAGATTAACCTTTTGAGTAAAATCCACCTTTTCACAGTAGTTTCCGTTCCTCTTAATCCCATGTTGTTAGACAGGTATGCAGAGCTGTATGACACTGAGAAGGCACCCACGTTTAAAGATTGGTTAACCACACCAATGTTGTATTGGCCTGGTGCTTAAAGCCTTCATCCATATTCTCCTGCTGCATCATCTAATATTGTTTTATTACTTTTTATTATTATTGTATCACATGGGCATATTTGAGCTAGATGTAATTGGCATTGTCATTTCAATTTATTTTAATCATCTTGGCTCTTAAAAAACATGCATTCTCAAGAAATAATGTATGACAGAAATTATGATTATCATTTTAACGGCATAGCTATCATCCTAAAATTGTTTAGTGTAATTGGCTTTTTAATTGCCCACCCTTTCTCTTCCTTTCTCAGTCTCTTTCAGTCTGCTGCTCCATTGGTTCACATGTTTTCTTCCTTCCCTCATTCCATCTTTGTACGATTCTCTTACACCCCAGGGCATGCTATGGAAATGTTTAATTGTTCTGACCACTGGACCACATGACTCAGCACTCTCACAACCGACTGACTCAGAACCGTTGATTATTTATATACTCACAGTTTTTTCAGCCCCTTTGGTGTATAATATTAGATCAGAAGTATTCTTTTGGTTTTAACTGTATGTTTTTTTTTTTTGTTTGTTTTTTTGTTTTTGTTTTTATCTTTTTCATAACTTTCGTAACATTTTGTCCTGCTTGCATCTCTAGTCCAGTTATAATACAAACAGAAATGTATCTTTGTTAACCAGCTAATTTGATTTTATGTCTTCTGATTCACAGAGCATGACAAGCACCGCCTATGCAAAAGTACTGAATACATGAATCTTCACTTCAAAGTCAAATGGTTCTATAATGAGTATGTCCGTGACCTGCCGGCCTTCAAGGGTGTCCCACCCGAATATTCTCTGTAAGTGCCTTTTCATTTATATTCTTACACTACTATCTTCTTAATTATCACTGTTTTTAACAGACAAGAGATTGCCAATGTCATCTATTTGTCCTTATGTAAGAACCAAGCTTCAATAAACCTTAATGAGAAGAGTGAGGTAACAGACAGTGGTGTGAATACCAAGCTACAAGCAAAGTGGCTGGTTCTGATGTTGAACCTTTTGACTGTGTGAATAGGTTTCTCAACAAATTGGTATGTAATGTAATTAAAAATTATTACAGTATTACAGAGCATTATTGTAGGGATACAAGTGGTGCAAATCACAGCAATAAACATCTGTTGATATAACTGTGTAGACTAGAGCTATGTAACAAAACTATAGCCTTGGTTTGGTCCCTTTTTTCACTTTTTCGCTCATCATCCCATGTATTTGTGTGCAGCAATGCAAAGCAGGGCCTATATACATGCTGATAATGCAGGTGGGGAATTCATTGGCTCATCTCATGCCGCCAGTCTATCAGAGTAATGAGTCCCCATCCCCCTGTTCCAGCTCTGTCACTCACCATCTCCATCAGGATTGCTCTGTCCAGGCCTGTACATGTCATACAAACACCCACATACACTGTGTTTTTTGCAGTAACTACTTCACTTTTGCCACACCCACATTATTTATTGGTTTCCCCTTCCATAGAGACGCCCTCGGGCAGGGTACAAAATAGCTGCGAGGGGACGTTTGTAGCTTTGAGGACAAGCTCAGGGACCATATTAAACAAGAAAATGGCAAAGTGAAACAGACAGAATAGCATTACTATTCCACCAACAAATGTACTTCCTTACTCTACTCATCTGTCCCTGGCACGGTCTGTCCTCTGCTGTCCTCTATCTGCCTCCAATCTGTCGACAAACTGAAACCTGATCTAAAAGCCTTGGCTTAAACCACACGCTTTTTCTTCTTCACCAAACATTTGACATTGGACTTCTTATTAAACTTAAATTATCTTTTGTAAGATAATATTAAATGAATGCTAAAATTGTACCTAGCTTAATTAACTTATTTTTATTTCAGCTGGTTCGAGCCATTTGTTATTCAGTGGTTGGATGAGAATGAGGACGTTGCCATGGATTTCCTGAACGGTGCACTGGAAAGGGACAAGAAAGATGGGGTGAGCGGAACACTTAATTATTCCCTAAAATATCCTACTTATATTTATTCAACACAGCCACTTTAGGTTGTTTTATTACTGTACAAGGGCAGCCTGTAAAAAAGGAAATACAGCTCTTGAGAAACACAGTTTTAGGATAGAGAAATGTAGCACAGCCAAACACATCCCCAAGCTGGGAAAGTGACAGGAATATCAATTTAGGCATAAACAGAAAGGAGAGTGTCTGAGCTTTAAAAGCCACTTAAGGAAATTATGACAAGCTATCTGTGTAGGTTTACATTACAACAGAAACAGAAAAAATTTGCAATTACAATTATCGTACAGCAACTTAAATAAAATGTAATATTCCAGAGGATTTGAATATTACTCTCAATGTAAGTTTTCTACAACACTTAAATGTATCATTTAACACTGGTATACTTCAAAACCAAAGCAAGTCAGTGATTGCCTGATTTAGAAATATAATAGGTTATCAAAAATGTATGATTCATTGATATCCTCTCAGTAGTGTTTGTCCTCCCAGTGATGTTAAAATCACTTGATTAACTTCTCCTCTCACTGCTCCTTAATGTGTATAATTAAATAGAGCTCCAAGGGTCTATTAACAGCGTCTGTCTATCAATGTCATTAGGACTGGATATATTCACAAGTGGACTCCATGTTCCCTTCATTGATGAAGGCCTGTTATTAGTACTGTTCACTCAGCAAGTTCCTCTATATTCACACCTATTATTGCCATCCGCTGAGTTATAGTGACATGAATTGTTTACTTTGTTGACAATTATGAGATATTTACATATGTTTTTTTGTTGTTTTCTCTACAGTTCCAGCAGACGTCAGAGCACGCCCTGTTTTCCTGCTCAGTTGTGGATGTATTCACTCAACTCAACCAGAGCTTTGAGATTATCAAGAAGCTGGAGTGTCCAAACCCACAGGCTCTGGCTCATTTCATGTGCCGCTTTGCGAAGGTCAGGTTCTTTAAATAGTCCTTGAGGGACCAATAAGTCAGCAGTTAAAGATGTTAGCATTGATCTTGCATACATGCATTATTTGCTCAGGTTGATACTTGCTTTCCGAGTCATTAGGAACTGCTCAAACTCTGACTTCAGCAGTTCTGTTCATTCTCTTGTCTTTTAGTTGTTTTTGTCCCTATTTTGTTACATTTGATGGCACAGTTTGTTCTTTAATATCTAACATACACAATAAACCATTCTAAAAACAGATAATTAAACTAGCAATGAAATATGATGCTTGATTCCTAACATGAAAGCCGACTTATTCATTAAACAGCAGTCTAAAATCTCAGAACAAACTACCATACATTTCAACATATATGACAGTCTCGTGTCTACTATATGTATGCGTTGCAAGATAAATGCTACATTAGCAGTGCAAGACTTGTATAGGAAATGTAAGTACTGTGCAGAGGAGTTTCAGATGGAGGTGGTATTGTATCATGCAATTCCATAAAGGTTGACAGACAAATGAATACAGTTACATAGACACGAATCTCTGTAGTGAATCAGATAATAGGCTGAACAATATCCAAGTGGGTGAGGTATGTTCAGGAAAGAAGAGGAATGACAATTATAAACATAGAAAAACAGATTAGGGGGAAAGAGTGGTGATCAAGAAGATGCACTTTTGATTGAAAGAGAGGATGGTACATGGATGGTGGGAGAAATTTCCAGGGGTAGGGAGAAGAGTGACTAGTTCCACGGAAGCCACTGCTGGCTGGAGTAATGGACAGGAGGCTGGCAGATGAGGAGCGTAATGATAGGACGGTGTGTAGGATGGTGTGTAGGCAGTAGGAGATTAGTCAGATATGGAGATTCAAGATTTTAGAGAGCTTTGAAATGCAATGCACTGTTTGTTTTTTATGAATTTTAGTTGATTAGTATAATTTCTGCAGAAAGGAAGAGGACAAAGGTAGTAAAAGTAAAAGGTAGACATCACTGCACACATTTTCAGCTTCTTTGTAATTCTGGTGGATGACAGATTGACAGATAAGGTTAGACAGGAATCTCCAGGGGCTATCATATTTGGGTGTGTGAGATAAGAATGGTACCGAACATTTACACTCAGCTTGTATGAAAACTCACAATGTTTTCTTGATAACAAACTTACTTGTGTTGAATTAGATTTTTCTTACTGCCAAGTAGTTATTCAGTGACTTACTAAGTTTTAGGTGAAAACAAATTACATGATATACTTTGTATTGTATGTTTCTTTTTTACAGACTATCAACAAAGTTCTTCTGCAGTATGCTGCAATCATATCCAAGGACTTTCACTTGTATTTAACTAAAGAGAATGTGGTAAGTGCCCACACACAAAGTTTGTCTGTATAACTTTTGTTGCAAACATGGCAGCTATTTCGTGATCTGTGTGTGGTTGGCATGGTAACATTGGATAAGAGGTTCAGTCGAGTTCAGTCAAGTTTATTCTATACTGAACCCCCGTGATTCACACAGAAAAGTGTCTCTATTAACTCTGTCCAATTATTCATCACAAGGCATGCAGCTGATGGGGAAAAGCCATTGGTATTTTCAAGGCTCTCTGTCCATTGTTTAATGTGACGGATGACTACACACTAAGCCTCGTGCATGGCCTAATTACAGCACCAGTCTCAGAAGTAAAGGAATGAGAGATAAAGAAGGCACAGCACTGGAGGCAGATGTTTCTCCACTCTCTTGACAGGCTCATTACGACTGTCCAGGAGAAAACAAGAAATGTCCTGTCTTCCTGCAGACATCTGATGGGAAATGAAATTCCCCTCAGTTGGCACTGGCACAATCACAATGAGCCTTAAGACACATTTGACAGTCGCTCACGTATTTTGATTAAACAACTTTTTTTTTGGTGGTTGTGCGATTGGGTTAATGTTCTAGGTATGCATGTTAAGGTGTACTAATGCATAATTACATTTTCTTGCCAATTGTTACTAAAATTCATGTAAGGATTGTTCTCTCTCTCTTGTTTTTACAGAAATTTGACTAGTATATAAAAGAAAATCTTATATTGCATTTCAGATCTTTACACAAGCTGCTCTTACAAAGAAACTTATCTTAATAGGGAACTGAAAGCCACCAATCATCTCATTCACTTTGGGGCAAATAATCTTCTATTATAAACATCATAATTTACCATGGTGAAATGCTACACTTGGGGTACATAATTTAGTTTGCATTAGAGGAAACTTCTTGCAAAAGTTGAAGAATTAGCCATGACCTCCATAGAACCCAAAGTGATTAATGTTTGCCGGCTGTTCCTCTTGTGTTGTGGTGCTGCTGGGAATCGATAATGCCTGACATATTCAGTGCAGACATTTCTCTCCCAGTTGTTTAATGTATTGCATTTCCCAACTGACTGTCGGCTCTCTGTGGAAAGATCACGTCTGTGTATAGATGATGTGTCAGAAAATCACAACAAATGGATTTTACAGTTGATTTCCAAGAATATGTATTATTTCATCAAATTCACAATATTCTATTGGAAATAGAATTACATTTTTATTGTTAATTATATGTTTATATTTTTTTCTTCCACAGCCATGCATTCTTCTCAACAACATTCAGCAATTGCGAGTCCAACTAGAGAAGATGTTTGAGTCAATGGGTGGCAAACAGGTCTGTATCCTCAGAGAACACTGAGCACTGCCATCAATCCCATGTTGTCTTTTCTGTCTTTTTTCTTATTGTTTTTCCCTTATCTATAATGTTGTTGAAGAATTACTCGTGTCCACAATATGTCACATTAATGCAGGCCACTTATTCCACTGCAAATTGATATCAAGGTACAGCTAGCTATTTCATTAAGTAGAACATAGACAGTCACATTTATATTCTCCAAACACAGACTTCTACCTGTTGTTTTTGAGTTTAGACAGTGTTATTCGTTAATAGCAATACTCGTACAAGTATTTTGTTCTGTATTTGAAGAAGCAATGTAGAGACACTTTGAAGGCGCTGCACCTGATTTTTACAATCCAAACATAAGTTGTTTGTCAATTTGTCAGTTATTTGTTGTTGGTTCACCAATAATAAAAGCACTCTATAAGAAGATGGAAATAGTGCACAGTGGACTCATGTTGTCCCTTGTTCTAAGGCAAGACAAAAAAAAAATCATAAGACAAATTTGACTTTATTATCTGAAGAAAGCAGGTGCAACACCTTTAAGCTCTCAAAGACCGCAATGCACTACACCAGATTATAGCTAAATTACTATTGCAAAGCATAGTTATTTATAGGGTCTCTACCAATTTGGTTTTATTATTCCAAAATCTATTGTGATCCCCAGTGTGTGCTAAGTCTTATCTTGATCAAATTAGTTTGTTTTTGAGGAAAGGACATATTTTATGTTGTCAGTAAATTTGACACTAGTAATTAGATCCCAAACTTCGACCAGAGGTGCATAGCAATGTTGTATCAGTATTATGTAAATGACTTTTATCTGGTGACATTTATGTAAACGCTGACCTCATAAGTGTGTGTACTGTGATCATCACACGACTAATCTGATTGGGTGTGACAGTGTCATGTAGATTGTAGACTACTTTTCCTCTATAATGTCTTTTGAGCCCTGGTCTGCCCTTCCCATTTGACACTTACATGTGAAATCCTTGTACCTCTCTGTAGTGGAGTACTTTCCCTGTCGACCTAACTTCAATGCATGTCTAACGCCTGTCTTGCCTTTTTGCGTTGTTTACCTCTATCCCCCCTTTTATTTTTCTCCCCCCTCTGTTCTGTCTCTCTCTGTCTCCAGGAGGAGGGGGTTGTGTCCTTCTGTAAGGTGTGTTCATTATAGGATCCGTCAGCACTACCTTTTTGCCATATAGTCAATGTTACAAATCAAAGCCCACAGCCTGTCCCCCTGCCACCCCCTCACCCCCTCCCTCCCCTCCAGCCGCATGTGCCACAGAGCATACGGAATCAGAGCAACCCATCAGCCTCCCGGAATAGACACTCTCCATCCACTCCGCTCTCGGGATAGTGGCTCATCTAAGCATCATTGAAAATCATCCTGATTCTTGCTTTTTACCGATTGTCCACTTTTCTATTCATGGCAAATGTATCATATTTATTCAGATTTGGTGAGAAATTAAGTGGCTGGCACCAGTTTGATCGTCACAGTATTTTCTTATCAAAATGAGGATTCTGAAACCTAATCTAAGGATTGGTGTAATTTTAACTTTTTTTTTTTTACATCTTTCACTTATTTTGTAGGAATTGTAGGAAACAACACTGCCTTTTTCACACTGTTGATAGGACAGCAGTGACAGGTCTGTCAGTGACAGATCCACCCTGCAGAATTGTAATTGTAAGGACTAGTCACAGCAAATAAGAAAAAGCAGTCATCTTATTTATCTCTGATGTGAAATCTATAGAGCCAGAGTAACAACTCTAAGATCATCTGTTCCTCTGAAGATCTATTATAGCTTGTGTATTGACATTTTGAAATCAAGACCACAGTGAATAGATTGTATGACAAAGGCAAAAAATGTGATAAAGGAAATGCTACAGGCACAGTCTTACAGCTTACAGCTACAGGCACAATCTTACATCTTACAGTTGGCCTCATAGCTAAAATGGAAATCCAGGGTCTGTTCTATTGCATGTGAATACCGTCACACAAAGATAATTCTTAACGTTTGTTGGCATCACAGTGTAGCATTTCTTCTGCATTATCAGCACATGGCATTTTAAAACAGGAATATTTTATGTTTTTTTGTCTATGTACATTTAATAAGCAATAGGGTGCAGATACAACTGATAAAAGACTATTACATACATTTTTCCACTATCTATTATTTACCCAGGAAAAAACAAGGGCAGCTTCTACATGAGCAGTTTTATATTTTATGCTACACTTACATTTATTTAAGTGACAACAGTAGTACAAGGATGTACGCATGTGAACACACAATTTCTCATATTCATGCTGGAGATAAAGGCATGTTTGGGAAATAACAATGTCTATAAAAGGTTTAGTTTACACACCCGCTTCCCAGCTGAGCCATTCACCATTAGAGTGTGTGAGAGGAGCATCTCCATGGCTGAGCTTATCGGGCCTAATGTGTTGATCTGTCATGCATGTGGTGCCAGGCCAGTCTTTACACATCCATCTCAGGCACCGCTGCACTTGAGCTACGTGTGTTCTCCACCCATCAATATTTGAACATTTGTACAAGGCCAACGTCCTGCGTGTATCCTGTAACATAAACAGCGATTCATAGGAACATCAATACTCCGATTTATACGGCTGCTGGTCAGAATACAGAAATAGTGACAGTTGCTTAGGCCATATTTACAAAACATACTTATTTAAATCAAATGAGCATGAAACCGACAATACACAAACACATACTCATATTGTGAGGTACTTACAAAATGTGAGGTAGACACACATCAGAGCAAGCCAAACGTGAACATTTTGCACTTTGACTGGCTTTAGAATTCAACTTCACAATGGTATTGCACAATATATGACAGCTGTATCTGTGATGTTAACAGTGTCAAGGCTGGCTAACAGCATTCTCCTGCTCCACTATATTGGTAGCAGTGTAACAAATGCCCTCCCATTTGAGAAAGCACTGGCTCCACGCTGCTTTGCTGACACCATGTCTCATGACTCGGCAAGCAGTCATTATTTGCTGCACTCTGAGGTGAGCTGTCCATTGGTATTCTGTTGGGTGATCAGCACAGATGGCAGGCACAGAGCAAGGGGGAGACCACCGCTAAAGCAGGGTACTCTGCTCTGTGTGCCCGCCTCCACACCCCAGCACAGGCACCCCGTCCAGGCACCACTGTTCAAGTCAGTGTGGGCTGGTGCAGAATCCTAATGATCTTCTGCTTTTTGTCTCCCCCTGACAGCTTGATGCAGAGGCCAGTGATCTGCTGAAAGAACTGCAGAATAAACTCAACACAGTACTGGATGAGCTCAGTGGAGTGTTCGGTTCAAGGTTTGTATTTTACTAACGCTTCTTTTTAATTATGCGAAACTAAAAGTGCTTTCAGGGCAAACACCAAAAAATATTTTTGTTCCCAATTGTTCTCAACTAGCATTCATTTTGAGTTTGTTTGAATATTGGAGCTTTTGGAACAAAAATGAAAAGAAAAGATGTTTCTGCATGTTGGAGATTATAGTTATAGCATTATATATACTTATAAGAAATCAAATCAAATTATATATCCTACAGGAAATCTAATGTTAAGTAGTCAGCATATTTATTTGCAATACATATTGTCACTCTTATAACAGACGTTTGAGAACTTTGTTAACAAAACAAATGTTGAACTTTAAAAATTATGAAGTTGCCAGCCAGCCTACTTTTCTTTCACCCTGTAATTGGTACTCCTCAATAATGTTACTTGACCCTGTTTGCCCAACTCTAAAAACCAAAGGATTTGAACTTGTGTTGTTTTTGTTACAGTTTCAAACCTGTAATAGAAGACTGTGTGAAGCAAATGAACACAGAGCTGGTGCAAATGAAAGGTCCGATCAAAGGCAGTAACCCTGCGATGGATGCCGAGACTGTTCTACGACCGCTCATGGACCTCCTGGATAAAAAGTAAGGCAAAACACAAGCATGAAGTAAGTTTCTTTCTCAGCTAATTATTTTTCAGAGAATTATGTTTTTTTGGCATTCTGTTGTACAAAAATAAATTAAATAGAGGTGGTGGAGTTCATTCAAAGGAAAATAGTTGTTGATGATAAACCAGAGAGAAAAAGCATTGGGTTTGTTTACAGACATGCCCATATAAATCCTGTATATTGTGCCCTGGGGCTTGTTGACACGCTGCATCAAATACTGCATGAGTCAAAGACAATACATATCTGAATGTTATTTATTCTCTGCTCAGACTATTTATGTGCAGTTTATTTATCTAGGAAAACAAAAATAACAATATAGAACTAGCTCAACCTATGTAATTTGCAGTTCCTCTCAAAGTCCTCAAAAAAGTAAATGTGTAAAGTTGTACAGATCCTGGCAAGGGAGAAGAGGTGGTTTGAAAGAGTCAAAGAGTCTATATTTATCAGGAAAAACAATCCTTTAAACAGAAATTGGGGCCTAAAGTACAACTTGTCACCCATTTACAACTCCATCCTCAGATCCAGGCCAAAACAAACTGTAACCAACTTAATGTAGTTAGCTCCTCCCTTTGAACAGATATTCAAGACAGTCAATTGCCAGAGATATATCAGAACCAAAGAAACCACTGGGATAAGTGGTAAAACATATTCACTCAGCTTCCTTTGCTACTATTGTACAAACTTTGCCTTAAAATAACAGCTGTGCAGTATATGTATATGATCATTGTCAGAGTGACCCTGCTGCTTTGTAGTTCTGTTGTAATTGTTGTTATTACAAATGCAGACTATGGTAACCGACTGCAGACGTACTTTCATTTTTCAATGGCGTAGTATTTTTTCCTACTGATGTCCGCCTGCTGAAGCTTTGCATATTCAAATTCCCACAATGTCAATGCTGTGATCGTATTGCAATGAATGAGCTGACTGCTTTTGTCGCTACTCTATTTGTGAATGTCAAGGGATTCAATCAAGGAATTGTATATACTTTTATGGCAATCTTGAAGGAACCAAAGCAATGATATGGTTCAACTGAGCTCAGAGAATTGCTTTGGGCCATTTGTCATTGCAACATTGAGGCCAGTGGGGTATTACAGTGAATCCTCTTAATGATATAGAAATACAAAATCCTTCCTCCTGTCTCTAAGACTATGCTTGTAGAATAGAGGAAGATTAAAACAGGACACCCCATTTGAAGAAGCATGTTTCTCTCTCAGTTAATTAGTGGTACTTGCTAGAACATCTTGTGTATAGCATCAAAAACTTTGTGCTTAGGTTTGCTATATGTATTTTAAAAGTATGATTCTATTCGGAGTACAAATTGATTTGAGGGAAAAATGTTATGAAATATGAACTGATTAACTAATATGACAATTCCAGGAATTATTTCAGAACAGGATTTTTTTATTAAATGGCATTATACAGGATAATTTGTTCTTTTGCACCAACTTGAATTGATTTGATCACAATACTATGTGCATATAGTGCAGCCCTACTAATAATAATAATACTATCAAATTTTGTTTTTAGCTTGATGTTATTTGCCAAGATCTGTGAGAAGACTGTTTTGAAGCGGGTCCTAAAAGAGCTTTGGAAGATAGTGTTGAATACTATAGAGAGAACCATCGTTTTGCCACCGCTGAGTGACCAAAGTGTAAGTCTCTGTGTAGTTTTCCATTTTCCGCTCTTCACATATCCATCTTCCTGACCTCCCTCCTCTGCCCCACCTGTTTCTACTCCCCTCACTTTCCTCCCATCTGTTCAGTTTGCTCATAACACTGAAATTATGGAGATTACAGCACATGGCAGGTTATTTTTTCATATGCTTAATCTTTGAACTAGGGTCATAATTTTCATCTTTGTATTTCATCATTTGTAGATTGTGTAGCTTTGTTGTCTTAGTTGGTTTTAGTCCAGTGACATAATGCAGTTATTGCTTCTTTTCATATTTGTTTTACTTAATAGAAACTTACTACTAGAAATAACAAAGTTTTTTTTTTCACCCAAATAGCAAGGAGCTCAGATGATCTTCAGTGCTGCCAAGGATCTAGGACAACTTTCCAAATTGAAGGTAATATTTATTGCAAGAAATTGTGGGGATTTTTTATTATAACTATATTTTTTTCCACACATGCTAAGAAAAACTGAAAAGAATGTAAATGTGATTTATTGTGCCAGACTTTGAGCAAGGGATCTTTTGTTATTATCTGTCTTATTTTTGTAAACCTCTAACCTCCTAAAAGTATTTTTCCAACATCTGTAGCGGTATTATCATTTGTCATTTGGTTCTTGGAAAGGTTTTGCATACAGGATTACTGCTGCTAGTGCACTGAGGAATTAATGTAGCATTTAAAGTCATTTAAAAATGACTTTTTTTTATATCATTCCCATCACTGAGAGGAAAGGTCTGTATTCAAATTATCATAATTTATTGAATGTACTAGTAAGTGAAGAGTTTCACATTAGATTGTAAAAAGTAATAAATAAAATACACTGGACTTAATGCATTCATGTTTATGCAGGAGCATGCTTTTCGAGAGGAAGCCAGGAGTTTAACTCCACGACAATGTGCAGCCATGGACTTGGTGCTTCCCACCATCAAGGTAAGCCTTATGTTAAGACAACTGTGAATCTTCACAATGTTTTATGTGCAAATAAGTAAAAGAGAGAAACAAAAATCTATACCTTTTAAGAATAAAACAATGAACTACTCTGTGCTATCAAGTGCTAGCAAAAGAAAGGCAAACTACATTACTACAAATTTATTGCTATGCAGCTGTTTGTTGTCAAGGGACAAGAGACAATTTCAAGATCCGAGTTCTTCAGGGACAAAAGAAGAGTTATAGCATGGAGCTACTGAGGGCTTACAGCATCATAAAGTGCTGAGGAGTCTAATTGATTTATATGTCTCTGAAGACAGAACCTGCAGCTTTATATCACTCACGTGGTCGTTTCCTGTTCATCTGTATTCCAATGAGAGCATTCACCAAACACACTTTATAATGACAAGGAAGAGCTGGTGTGCTGAACCAATATGCACTGTATAAATATATTTGAAAAGGCTGCATTATTGAAATAAATTTAATCAAATATTGCAAACTATTGGGATATGAATTTAGCTTGACTGATGAGTGAAATATTATAAAGCTTCTCTAAACAGTAAGCAGTAGAATGCACTTTAGAAAGTAAAGTGTTCCTCACAACTACGTAACACAGACAGACTGACTAATAAGGGACATTGTAGTGGATCTCTCTTTAGGCTTTTACAATAGTCACTGGTGTAATCAAGGCCATTTCTTAATAAGCACTGTCTGTAGCCTCTGCTCCACCTCCAAACGTGGGCGTGTTGACAGAATAGAAAGAACTGCACAGCCGTCTGTCCTCAGCACTAAGTCTTATCATCAGGACAAATGCATTAACGCACAAGTGTGGGGTAGAGTCTAAACGCTGGGTAATTAGACGTAGAAGAGGCACTTATAGCTCTCCTCATCTTTGTCTGTCTGCTGCACCATGTCCACTGCCTACTGTCCTTGAAATCCCACACTGTTACCATGCCTGCTAATTACTTCTGCTAAGAGCTGAAGATGTTGAATTAGAAAACAGTTGTCTTTTCTTTTCATTATAGCAATATTTCCATGCTGGTGGAAATGGACTGAAGAAAACCTTCTTAGAAAAGAGTCCTGATATGAAGTCGCTCAAATACGCTCTCAGCCTTTACACTCAACCTACAGATGCCTTGATCAAGAAATATATATGCACCCAAACCTCTCAAGGTAAGTACTTAGTATATGAAAAAATGCAGTTCCTCTGAAAGTCCACAAAAGTCCTTAAAAGTGACTGCTAGGAGAAACAACATAACATACAGTGCAAAGCCCCCCAAAATTGTCATTTGAACATATAGAACAGAAGACATATAACCTTTATTTTCTCCACTGTTGTACAAAAACAGCAGGAGAATAAAAAATATGCAATCAAAAATTGGTACCAAAAATAACAACTGAAATGCAAGTGTAGGCTGAGTTCATCTCTCAAATAGAAAACACTTCTATCTCTACTGAGCTAAAGGTAAAAGTTAGCTGTTAACTTGAAAACTACTGCTTCCTGACATCACAAAGTGTTTTTAGTTTTGAAGTTGTAGACACTGACAGGCTAATAATAAAGGGTTACTCAAACAAGTGTGAATGAAACGAAAAGGTAACAACATTCTAACATGGTTTAAAGCTCACATGAGTCACTTTGGTGTAATATATAACCTTTAAGTATAATATTAATAATTGTTAAAAGGGCATAAAAATAATTACATAAAACATCTAAGTGTATGTAAGTGTAACCTATATATGTATAAGTGGCCACGACTATGTCAACAAATAGCAGGTAAAGTGACTTCAATGTGTTCTACCGGTGGTGTTTCACAATACAATACAGTATTTGCACATGAAATTCCCTTCACCTTGTTTTTTGTGTTGCCTTTCATGTAAAGCACCATCTTGATAATTTCATATTGTGTGTTCAAACAGATATTTCCCCGATTTACCTAGTCCTCCCTGGTGACCTACATTATATATTATTGCCTTGCTCATCTGGCTGTCTTGGGGAATTGGTTATGACTGTATCTGTAATAGCTTTAGGTGTCGTGCATGTTTTGGGGGGACTGGACTCAGCGCGCTAGTGGTGCTGTGAGCTTGTGGTGCTGTAACTTGTTCATCCTTGCAGAATACAGTGCTGGCAGCAGGAGGCAGGACACAGGGGGAACAGACAGCTAGCGGGCCAATCAAAGCCTCCAATTTTTCTTACTAGTAGATGGGACTGGCGCTGTGCTATTCTCAGACAATTTTATGTGCCTCTTTAATTGACCATGTCATTGTGCTCTGCTTTTAGCTTACAGTGTGATGTTTGACAGGGTTTACTGGGATGGCGCCAAATGGAGTTAGTGAGGTGCTTGATGTGCAGTGGGCTGTTAGGAAAATGAATGTCATGCGATGGTTTGTTATTGTCAAGGGCTGAATCATATATGTGTACTAACATTTGTTTGGAAGAAGAATAGCATTGTATCTCTAATTGATTGTGCAGCTCAAATGTATTCATCAGAGTACAATAAAACCAACGGAGACACATTCATGGCATGCTGACTATAGCAGACAGCCTTGTGCAGTGCATTATTTCTCTACTTTGTGCTTAGATGTAAATAAAACATTTGGATTTGTTGAAGGATTCACAATAACATTTTATAGATTACATGTCACTGTGCATAGTGCACTTTCATGTTATTCGTACTTGATTGTGTGGGCAACCAAATGATGAAATATCTTGCAGATTTTTGCAATTGAACAGAGTAAGAAAGCAGTAAAACTTTTTATCATCACAAAATAAGGATTATTTAAGATAGAACCAATTTCTATAATATTTGTCTCTCAAAATGTAGAAAGAACATATTGATAAACCATTGGATGCTCACAGTCTGTAGACTTTCAGCGTTGAACATCTGTGCTGTTGTAACATGAGGCGATCTAATGGTCCAAGTCCCATCATGCATTAGCACCATAGAGACACATGGTAAGCAATCAATTCTAATTGTTTCCTGGCAACAGCGTGTTCTTTTTAAAGTGCATGGGCGATGGCACTGCAAATATAGCTGTAATACTTTTATGCCTTTAAAATAATTTTGAGTTTGACTGGGATATTGTTGTATATTCATTACAGTGTCATGCTCCAACGGCTCTTTGTCCCAGCCTTTAAAACAATGCTACTTTCTGTCTGATGCTGGGGTTTTCATGTAGCCTCAAGTGAAAGGAAACCCTGGCTTTGTTTGTTACTGTGATGCCATAGGGGGTAAAACCAGTTCGCACTCCTACTGTTTATCCAGCATTCGGGTATTTTGACACACAAGCTTGTTTTTTCTCGCCTGCATACATTTCCTAAAACAAAAAAAAAAGACTTTGTTTTTGTCTGGCCTGTACTTTCATCTGTATTCTACCCCTCTCTTCTGTCTCTTTCAACATCTTTGATTATCGCAGAGCCACTTTTCCCAATCCTCTTGTTGCTGTTTTGGTGTGTGTCCAGGTCAGTCATCCAATGGATCAGTGGGGGAGGTGTCAATGCAAGTGAATCTCATCTCTCATCCTGGCACCGGGGAGCACAAAGTCAGCGTCAAGGGTGAGCTTTTTGGCATCACACACACCTCCTTTAATAAAGCCTGTATTTAAATGAATGGCTGTTGCTGCATGGGGACATGGTATCTCTTTGACAACTGGACTTAGAATTCTGGCTAACACTTAGATAACACAAAGGTTATGCAGCTCATAATTAAAACAAAACCAAGAAACAACAGACATGACAAATTAGATTAGAAATTAAACTAATAATAATTTAAGATACTATTCTTTTTCATTGGAACATTGTGTACCTATATATATATATATATATATATATTTATTTATTTATTTTTCAAATCATCTTTATTTATAGAGCACTTTTCATACAAAAATTCTACACAAAGTGCTTTTTACATTTATTTATGTATTCTGAAGGTCTGTTTAAATTATTGGAGCCCTATATTCAACATACTGTGTGTGTGTGTGTATGCATCCAAACTTAGTTTTACTTGTTTTATCAGATATTGATACTAAAAAATCACATTCAAAGGACAGAACTGAACCTTTCCTGAATGGCTTTAGAATGATCTTGAGCTGTATCAGAACAAGAACACATATAGTAGGATACGCTCATGGACCACTGTGTAACCTACATTTCATTGTGGTATTGGAATCAATATGGGTATCGAGTCTATTCCTTAGTATCGATATTGAGTTTGAAATTTTCATATCGTTCCAACTCTTCTCTATTGTATCACCTTTTTATTAGAACCAGCAATGGTTATTCAGTGTCAATGTCTAGTTCTTATTTTAGCTGGTTTGTATCTATCTACTGTCCACTTGTCTGTGGTCATAATGTTACACCGGATCAGTTCTTCTATCCCATAGTGATAAACGTACCCGCTGTTGACAAACACAGCTATATTACAATTAAATCCAATGTCATTATCCACAACTGTGATTTAACTAAAAGCATTCCTCAAATAGCTCTAGTGATGAGCTCTATGCCTCCCACAGTCCACCATATGCTGCTGTTTTAATTGGCTGCTTCACTGTATAATGGCAAATGGATCATCGTTGCTATGGTGATTTGGATTTTGTATTTAAGACTTATCTGTGTATTATGTTCTATAAAGCTAGCATATTTTATTTCTGTCAATACTGTCACCATAGGGCATAAGAAAAATAGTTCAATAAAAAGCAATATTCCTATTCTCTCTCAAGCTGCCAATAGTGCTACGGTCACAAGAAGCTCCTATTTCCATATATGTCTCATTCATTTTGTAGTTTTCACATCTGCTGACTTCAGGCTTTGTCTTATCAAATGCTTCGATAGAGTTTAAATCTCTCATAACAAAAACATCTACTGCATTGGTAAACAGATTGTTTAGCCAGTTATTATTTTAAGTTTACAAAGATACCACCAAGATCTGCTCTTCTTACAGTGGTGGGGGTGAACAAGCTCATGTGGCAGACCAATGCCATGTTCAGACCCTTTGTGGAGGTCAACGCCGTCGGACCACACCTGGCTGACAAGAAACGCAAATTCAGCACTAAGACCAAGAACAACAATTGGTCACCAAAGTACAACGAAACATTCCAGTAGTAAGTATTACAGTGAGCGTTAGGTCAACAGTCTGCTTTATATCTGTGCAGGAAGAAGAGATTAGAGATCTAAAAAAGAATTGTGGATACAGCAGTGTAATCAATGCTGGCTGGCTGTTAAATAAAGATGTACAAAGATTTACACCTCTCATTGTATAGATTTTACAAAGTTTGTAATTGCTGTGGATAATTAGAGAGCAGCCAAAAGAAAAAGCTGACTGAGAGGAACAGCTCATTAAAATAGAAACGTTCATTTCACTCACATAAAAGGAGCTGATGGTCTGAAGACATACAATCAGTATGTTTTTACTGGAGAAATGTCACCCGGTCAGACACTGTAAGTGACTCCTTTGTCCAGACCTGAACAAAAGCAAGCGTGAGTGACCTGAAGAACATTGTTTACAGCATGTCCATTCACTCACATGGGCTCTAACCAGGCTTTTTCATAGGGTACTTAGGTTTGTGTATGTAGAGGTCCTCTACCCAATTATTTCATGTAGTAAAATCAAAAATCTATTTTGCCCCAGTACAGTATGGTGTACTCAATTAGACCACTATACACTGTCTGCACTTATTTTTGTGTTTTTTATTCTTGTCACAACTGGACGGTATTGTTAGCAGTACCATGATCCAGAAACTCCTCTATGATTAATTGACTAGATCCATTTATCACTGTGTGAAAATTGTAAAAATTCAGTGCACTGCCTTTAACAATGCCCCTTTGTATTGACTTTCTCCTGTTTTCCCTGTGCAGTGTCCTGAGTAATGAACATGGTCCAGAGTACTACGAGCTGCATGTCTCAGTGAAGGACTACTGTTTTGCACGGGAGGACCGCATCATAGGCATGACTGTCATCCCACTGCGAGAGCTGGCTGAATCAGGCAGCTGCTCGGCCTGCTACCCTCTGGTCAAGAGCATCTCTATGGACGAAACTGGCCTCACTATCATGAGGATACTCTCCCAAAGGACCAACGACGAAGTGGCTAAAGAGTTTGTGCGCCTAAAGACGGACACGCGTTCAGCGGAGGAGGTGTCGTAACTGTGCTAAATGCAGTATTAGGATTTGAAGAGTTGTCATGTCTTAAGCTAAAGTACTTAAGGTATGAAGCGGTAGCAACAGATGTTCAGTCAGGAAAGGGCTGGAATTAGCAGAAGGAGATTTCCAAAGAATCAGAGAGTGGAGTCACAGGCAGCAAGCGGGCGTGTGCGAGAGAGAGAGTTGTGTTTGTTTGTTTGTTTTGTGCATGTGCGTAACATCTGTTGGAATGTTCATTTTAAACTACAGTATGTACAAGTGTTTACTTACCGTATGCTTACTATTAAGTACTATATTCTACAAATTATGTTAATGAGACATGAAAAACCTTTTGTACAACATTTAGTCTTTTTGAACTGAGATTCGTTCCAATGAAGTGCCAAACCAGTGAAAAAAGAACAAACCAACATATATGAAATATGGTGAACATAGTATGTTTGAAAATTTGCTCGATTCTTTTGTCCGGTGTAAGTCAGTTTTTGGCTGTGTGGCGTTCTGATTGTGGCAGAGTTTTTAGTTTTTGACCTTGTTTGGCTTCACGTTCTTCCACACAGCACTGTTGTGCATGTCTTTTCTGGGCCATGTCTCTCCCATGATTCCACAGTGACCATCGAGCAGGGTCCTACCCCTTGCCTTCAAACTCTTTGTATTTTAAGTCGTCCTAAAAGATGTTTTTTTAAATGGCGATGACTGCTATGTAAACCTTCATAGGTGTTTGTAATTTTATAATCATGACAACAATGACGACAGCCTCCAGTGCTAACGCTCTGATCGTATGGAGAGGGTTCTTTTTCTTTGGATTCTCATTGTTTTTGCCATCAGCTTCCAGCCTTTCTGAATGACCACTGTGAACATGAGCTTTGGAAGGCAAGCTTACAAGATATTGGTAACTATATTTTGTTTGGATTTATACAATAACTTTGTTTCTGATAAACTGCCAAAGTTATATAAAATATTTGTACAAAAGCAATCCATTTCATGTATGGAGATATATATGTACATGTTATTTATTTCATTTACAAAGCTTAATATTTGATTGTTGATAGAGCAGTAATAAGACTTTATTTTTTTGCTGTAAACAGATCAAAGTTGCACATGTTACTTTATCACACAGTTCTATCTTGATCATTGATTTAAATTATTTTTCTTCATAAAGGAAAGAGTCTAACATTTGGAAAATATGCAACATTCCTATGTATTGCACTGATGGCGAATTGTATGTCATGTAAATATATTTAGTGAGATATTGTACAAAAGTCTACTTTTCTTTAATGTGCATAAAGTATGTTCAGATGTGACTGGGTTTTGTAATTCTCTGGGACACAAACACTTCACTTCTGTTTGAGCTGAGGCAAATGTTTTAATTATACAGTCTTCTACTTTCTAGTAGTTAACAGCAGATAAAAGGATGTTATAATAAATACATAGAAGAATCTAAATTGTACTTGAGGGATACATCAATTGTCAAGTATAAACAAAATGTTTTGGGGCTGCCTTAGGACAACCTCTTTTACAGTTACATTTATTTATTTATGCTTTCAGCTTTCAACCTTAAATTAATTGTTGGCCCTAATTAGAAAAGATTGTGTTTATTCTACCCTAAAGCAACAAATGTATTAAATTTCCCAAAACCTATGAGTGCTGGCAAGTGGTCATAACTTATCTACAGGTCCAATTATGCAGAGAACAGTGCTGTGCAGACCTCAAACTAATATACAAGATTAAGATGTTAAGAAGAATTTCTAAAGGGTAACACTATAATCTCAAATGACAAAAAACAGCATACAAGTGAATGAAATGTCTCCCCAGGATATCTTTGTATGAGAAATGCCACTGTCGGCAATTACCTGTGTCCGGGTCAGCACAGCCAGACTAGAGTTAGTCCATCTGTCAGTGTCACTATGTTGCCTTTTTCTTCACGGCTGTGGTCTGGTCCAAACACCAAAGGGCACAAACAAAACGAGAGATATCACTGACAACAGACTGAAGCACTACTGAGATAATAGGACAGGCATTGTTGAGCATAAAATACCAAAGAGCCATCTCTCCGCATGACAGGATTAGAGCCAAATATTCAGACACAGTCCTGTTGTGTGCTGTTGCCTTCTCAGTGAATATTTGATTACATGTAATTTATAGTGAAACCACCGGTGGTGGAATATCAGTTGACAAAATCTGTGGTTATTGATTTGAGTGTACTTGAGAAGTGGCAAATGTGGGGAAGTAAAATTTTGTGAATTTCCAGTTGACTGATATTACTTTGTGTTGCCAGACCAGTGTATTAAAATCTAGAGGTTCCAGAGAAGGTTAATCCACCAGCCCTTTCTCATAAGACATAGTAATGAGACGGATTCATAGCTTCTTTGTATGCCACCATAAAGCTCTGTTAATGTAAGGACTGGTATCATAATAGGAGGACTATCTTCCGTTTTGTGCCAAACTATAAATCTTATTTGTGTAATGAGCAATTAGAGACAGTGAAAGAAGAGAATAAAAGGAAACGCCAAGGAGTTAAATACATCTGCAGACAGAACTGTCTATCCTGGAGGAAAAACATTAGCCTAACTCACTCATGTAGGACTGCCAACAGCACAATTACATCAACTCTGACTTTTGCAACCTTGACCTCTCATTTGCATATGGTAAATTCCTCCTGGAATTCTGTTATCATCATCTGTAGTGCATTTCAAAGGACAAGGAGAGATGGGGATGCCAACACAATGATCTTTGAGGATCTGCTAGCTGGAATAATCTATGGTAAGATGACATAGACTGTTGAGTGAATGCACATACACTGTTTACAATTTAAAGAATTAGACTTTAGACTTTTATTGCAGTTCATGCATCCACTTTGTTGATTAAAATATTGTTTACAAAGCTGTTTATTTGCAGGGCCATGGCATGGTAAAAAATCACTTTCTGAATATGCACTGCTGGTCTGCCTGTGATGCAGGGTATTGTGTTTGCTACTCCAGTCTGAGCTCAGTGTGTCCTTCAGAGCACATTGTGTGTTGTCTGGAGGGAAGATTGATGGAGGGCACCTCACTTGAGAGATTACTCACTCGCAGCAGCCTCTGGATCAGAATGGGTCCAGTGGAAACTTTGGGAATCTAATTTGAGAAGAACTTGATACAAAGCAATTTCTTCACTGCACCGGACGATATGTAAGGGCATTTCCAATCATCTACAGTGTATGCTATTAACCTTATGCACTCCTTCATATATACTCTCTTATGTAGTGACTGGTGCCTGGTTTGACCCTACTTGAGCTGCTAATGGCTTATTAATAATGTTATATGCATTAAAAGGTCAGACCTAGTTTTCTGGATGAGTGCCTTAATTACAAAATTGTTATAATTTCACTCACAACCATTAAGTGGTCATAACATTAAGTACATATGTAAATGTCACATGTAAATAGCTTTAATACAGATCATCAAACCACAGTGTAATATGCTATGCAATATTTACTTCAATGTAAAATTATTAACACCTATTACACTACAGTACTCACCAGTTTCAGAAAAGTTTTACTCATCATTGGCAATATGAGGATTTCTTATATAAATCAAATAATTCAAAACAATGTTATGTTTTTTTTGCTCATGTGTAGTTCCCCATACCCTTGTGTCCACCTCGACTGGGACAAACCTGCAGCCTACTTCATCTCCCTGCGGCTATCCTCTCTCCTCTCCATCACCGCTGTCTGGCGCACCTCCGCTCTCCCTTTGTGTACTTTAATAAATCATCAGCACCTCTCGTCTGGGGAGGACTACGTACACTTACTTGGCCCATATACAGTATGTGAAGAGCTTCACAACATGCAGGTATTTCTGGGTTGTAGATTCCACATGTAAATATATAAACCATGTTGTTTGGGTGTATTTTTGGGGCATTTACTCTCACGTGATAATTTGAACTTCCAGAAGAAAAAACAAAAAGTACTTGCTCCTTTAAAAGAATAACACACGCTACTTATCCTGTCTTATCCTGTATCGCTGCTCTTAGTCTCTAGGTCTGTCATGTACTAATTTTGAACTACGATGTATTGCTACGCAGAAATATCACGATAAAGGATAATACTGAAAGCAAGATAATTCCAGTAAATCCTTTTTAAATACAACATTAAAAGGCATGAGCTACAACAAATAAAAAGCAGAATGAATCAATAATTAGACATTCATTGTTTGAATTAGTCATTCAACCCTCTACAGCTCAAATTTTATTGTACTACAACTAAAATAACAAAAATCTCCCCACTTTTGCATAGAAACCACTGATAAATACTGAATGATAAATCGATATATTAATAATTGTGACAGTTATAGTCCTACTACTCACTTGGCTGCCACTTAGGGCTTGGCAATATGATTGAATTGTGAGCTGAACCAATCCATCGGTTTCAGAATCATGAAAAAATAAAACAGTAGATAGACAGATATGAATAATTTAAAACTAAATGTCACTTCTTTTGAATGGTCAAAATCTTGCCTGTAACAGGAAGCAGACATGCATGTATAAAACAGATCTTTTGAGGACCCCCTGGAAAATGAGATGCTCTATCTCAAGGGGTTTATCGTCTTACTAAATAAATGCCATACATTGTTATTTTGGTCATTTCATCAAATTGTCATTCAGTGTTTAGACAGCTCTTTGTTCAAACCCTTTTCCCACCCTCTGGGAAATTTCTGGCATATCGCGGAGTTGCCTCTCCATACATCAGATCTGTCACTTCACTTGATACCATGACCTGCTTGTCTCCATGGAGACAGATAACTTTAATGCCCCTATGTGGAAATTCCAGGCAACAAGTAGTCAACATCTTTATGGAGAGGCGCAGATGAAGGACCCTCCACCAGAAAAGTTACATAGTGCTGAATGTTTCAGTAAAGTTTGTAGCCTATTATTTTATTCCTTCCACACAGTTTTCTTTCACGTGACCACAGTGTGCCCTTGACACATAGCTGACCACATACTTGGTGAGTGTATGCTGGTGATGGCTT